TAATGTTAAAAAGGTCTCTCACCTTGGCTACTCCTTAGTTCTTCTCTACAACTGTTAAGAGCTGGTGGGGGTCATAAACTAATAAAACTATTGGCTGTTTTCAGGATTTATAAGAATGCCTACACATTAGAATTACCTGGAAAACTTTAAAAAAACAAACAAACAAAAAAAGCAACAAACAAACAATTGGACACTAGCTTGTTTGGTTCAGTGGATAGAGCATCCACCTGTGGTTCAATTCCGGTCAAGGGTACATGCCCAGGTTGCAGGCTCCATCCCGAGTGGGGGGTGTGCAGGATTCTCCCTCATCACTGATGTTTCTCTCTCTCTCTCCCTCTCCCTTCCTCTCTGAAATAAATTAAAAAAAAATTTTTTTAATGGAGGTTGGGGAAGAAGGGGCTGGCCTTTTAAAAAGTTGCCCAGGTATCTTCGAATGGTCCCACATAGATACTGAATATTCTCCACCCCAGTTTGTACTTAGACCACTAGATAGACATTTAATGGCTGACAATATATTTGGAATTGCTACAGTTAGAGTATGTAATGATTTGGAGCTGCCACAAACTGCCTTTTATATCATGGAATATAAAAGCTTGTGCTTTCTATATTATTTCTTCATTAGTTACAAAGTTTCTAGCAATAAATCACTATTATCCTAAGAAAATATTTTAAAAGAAGAAACTCAAAGCTATTAAAATTTTCACCAAGGTGATGACCAAGGTAAGACAGGGTGTGTAGTCTGGAAGCATCAGCAATGAAAACACTGAAGAAAAACAGTAATTGTTTGTGCCACTAATGACCTCAAAATGGAATACAGAAATAGATATTCTTCAAAATGAAAATGAATTTATAAACCACTGATAAGGCATGTTTCTTCTTGGTAACAGGTTCTCCCATATCTGTAAAAAGATATATGTATCTTTTGGAAATAAAGTAAATGAAGTTGTTTCAGTATATATAATTTTACAAGAAAAACTTACACAAATGTGCAAGCTGGATATGTTCTTATGATTCACTGCAAATATCCTCAAGTTGGACAACATCTTGGCCCTCTAAACTGTTATCCTCTGAAAAAGAAATATATAAGATTATAAAACTAAGTTTACATATTACATGTCAGTAATACATATGTAAGGCATATGTAGATATGTGGTAAAAATGTGTTATTTTTAAAAAGTAGGAACAATATTTTTAGCTATCAAAAACAATGCATTTTTCAGAAAATGGAAATTCTGACAAAACATAAGGAATACGGTCCTAAGCTTAAAATGTTCCTTGTTCTTTTCAACATGCTTATAATTCTTCAAAAAAAAAAAATATGTAACAGAAAAAGATTTATTGAAATTACAAAAAATATATCATACCAATCAAAAATTTTACGAAAAATATAAAAAATTAAGTATAGAAAGGTTAAGCATCTACCTACATGTTGGTAATTTCTCATTGGTAATACAACTTTTTAATTTATCCATATATTCTGATTTTTCTACCATAAATATGTAAAAAATATACAAAAGCAAGTCCTCTTCTATAATTATAGAAACTAAGCATCTTTAGTTTTAAAACATTTACTAAATATTCACTATGTTCTGAGTACACTATCAAAGCTATGAGAAATGCATGGAAACATCTGATTGGATGGAGACAAAAACAGATAGGGTTAAACCAGTGCCCAATGCTATGTAAGAAGCCATGTCAAATGACTATTATTCCTGGTAAATTTGCTTTTTCTCTGTATCTTAAGACAGAAATATTCACTATCCATATTCAGGAAGTCACCAAGTCCTTTTGATTTTATTTCCTAAATATATCTTGAATCCATTCCCTCTTCTTCATTTCTAACACCAAAGTGCAGGATGTTTGCAAAATCATGCACGTTAGATCTCTTCTAAAAAAGAACAATAGATTCTAACATAACAGGACAGAAAAAGTTCACTAATATGATTTAATTTCACATTGCAACTAACCTTTAAGAAACTATCACTTGTCCAAGCCTATTAGAGCATTCACAATTTTCTGAAAAGATAATTAAAATTATCTTTTCTTTCCCAATCATATATACATGTATGGATAAGGCTGAATCTTCTTACACTTCAACCAAAATTTTTTTAAAGATATATGGTAACATAAATACAGAAGCAGGAATAAGATGCCAGCTGTTTTCTACCAAGTCAGACAGTAAAGAGACTTACAAAATTGTAAACCAATGTAAAACATTCTTCAAACTATTTTTGTTTTGAAAAATGGGCATTTTTTCATAAAACATTACTTACATTAACATTTAATGGGCGTATAACTTTTTAAAGAATGACTAAAATATTTTAACGTTTTGCTTTAATTTCTAATATTTGAATATCAATTATAACCCATACAAACAAACCACTCTGGAATTCTGAATCATTTTTAAGAGGGTGAAGGGTTCCTATAAACCAAAAATTTTGAGACAGTTATTCCAACACCAAGTTTCCCAAAGAGAATGCCCGTCATTATTTTACAATAGGTTATAGACCAAAAAAAATATATATATTAGGTCTAGTAATAATTAATGTCGTTTTCTAATACTTTTTAAAATCGAATTTATTTAAACAATACAACAAAATTTAATCAACAATATAGTTGCCGTTGTTTTCTACTACTTGTGCCCAACGCTCAGGAAGCATTTTAATCCCTCTGTTGTAAAATTCTTGTGATTTTGATGCAAAAAATTCGGTCAATGCATTTTTGAGGCATTCTTCATTATTAAATTTTTTTCCAAGAAGCAAGTTTTGCAAAGAACGAAACAAATGGTAATCGGAAGGGGCAATATCAGGAGAATATGCAGGTTGAGGGAGAACTTCCCATTCCAACTGGCGCAGTTTTTCAGCAGTGATTCTTGCAGTACGTGGTCGTGCGTTATCTTATCGTGGTGAAGAATTACGCCCTTCCGATTAATCAGCGCGGGTTCTTTTTCTCTTAAAGCTTGGGCTAACCTTTCCAATTGGGCACTATACACTGCACTTGTAATGGTTTGGTTAGATGGTAAAAGTTCATAATGAAGAATTCCTTTAAAATTCCACCAAACACACAACATCACTTTTTTTGCATGCAAGTCAGGTTTTGGCGTGGGCTGTGGAGCCTCATTTTTGTCCAACCATTGAGGCCGCCTTTTCAAATTAACATACAGCACCCATTGTTCATGTCCGGTAACAACTTGCTCTCAAAACGGCAAACGGTTTTGACGAGAGAGGAGCGAACTGCAAATTGTGACTCTTTGATTACGGTTGTTGTCGGTCAACTCATGAGGAACCCATTTCCCAAACTTTTGGACTTTGCCAAGTGCACACAATTGATTGGAAATTGTTTTTTGTGAACAATTTAAAGTTGTCGCAAGCTCTTGTTGGGTAATTTGAGGATTTTGCACCAAAAGAGCTTGAAGAGCTTCTTGATCAAAATTGGACACACGGCCTCGACCACTCTTGTCATCTAACGAAAAATTTCCCTCTTGAAATTTCTCAAACCAACGCTGGCATTTTCTGGCGCTAACTGCATCTTGACCAAGAGCACTTCAGATGTTTTTTGCAGCCTCACTTGCTTTTCTTCCTAATTGGAACTCGTAAAGCATGCAGTGCCGAATATGCTCTTCATCCGCCATCTTCTTAGCCCTAGTTTTGCAACAAAAACCAAACCAAACACAAACTTTTTCAAGCAAAACTTGTTAATTGCACTTCACACGTTCTGTAGATACCACGTGTTTGAAGGTTATGTCAATACAAGTCAACGCCAAGCAAGATTTTAAACGAATGTTGAAAAACGACATTAATTATTACTAGTCCAGATTATTTATATATATATATATGCGCTTACTAAATAAGTATTAGAAAAAAGTCAACAAATCCTGTGATTTTATAGTCAGTGTTGTTTAAAATGTGAAATTTAATTTACATAAAACAATTAACTTACGGGGAAATGTTAAGTAAATAACATAGTAAAATATTACTAAGTAAATAGCACAGGTGACATTCATCTAGGATCAGTCTTATAAGGTAGTGCTCAAATCACTAAAGTGAGAAATGCTGTTTTAATCCATTAACACATACCTCCAAATAAACAACACCTTGTCACTTCCTTACTTAAGGTTTTTAACATGATAAGTTTGTCCCCAACTCCCTTCACAGCCTTGTACTCTCCCATTCCCTACTCTCCACTGGGGAGCTTCAGCCAAAATCCCCCAGACACACCATGCGGACACCTTCACACCTGCGCGTGCTGCCGCAGCCGGAAAGCATCCTGGAATCCCAGAGTCCTTCCTTCCCTGGCAAATTCCTTCTCCAACTTGGAAGCCTTTCCCAGTTTCCTAGGAGGTTTTTCATACTACCGCCTTGGTGCTTTTATAACACTCGGAATTCATATTTATTCACGACAAATATGCTATTTACAAGTTCTCTCCACTCCTGTGAGCTCCCCAAAAGGAGAGATTTTCTACCAGCAGTGCCTTGCACAAATGCCTCATTTTTTAAGTGATTTTCTTCCTCCCTGTGGGTAGAAGAATGGTATCTTACCAGTGTGGACAATGGAGTTACTCATTCGACATCACTGAGGCATTCATTCATTCATCCTCAGATCTTGGAGAATACGTTAAGGGCTCGCTAAAGGTTGTCTTAACACCTGATGGCATCATTAGGGTTGCTGCATCCCTGAAGGTCAGCGGCGCCCGCGGCGGGCAAGGTCTTAGGCACGCGGATCGGTACCCACCTGGCATTCAGGCGCATCCCGGAGGCCAGCTGTTTCCCTCCAGGCTGGTGTGAGCGGGGGTCCGGGCCGCGCCAAAGCCTGCACAGACCGCAAGTCGCAACGTCCGTCTCCCTCGGGGAACGCCTTGGCACCTCCAGAACCGAACCTGCAGCCTCCCGCTTTTGCCCGCACCGGCCCCGACCGCGGCAGCACACCACTTCCGGTGGCGTAACACTCAAATGCCTCCGACCAACAACTTCCGCTCTTCTCGCGAGAAGCGGAGAACAGAAGCTCGGAACCAATGCGTCGAGCTTTCGCCGGAGTCGGACGTTTTAGAAGTGGCCCTTTCCTGTCGCGAGTTGCGAAGAGTCGGTTCGCGAGGCTTTTGAGAGCCGAGGATTGAGAGCTTCTTCGCGCCCGGGGGTCTGCGCCCGGCGGCCCGGCGGCCGTCACCATGGTGAGGAGGCGGGCTCGGGAGCTCGCGACGTGGGGCGTCCGAGTTGGCGGGGTCTAGGGTCCCCGGGGCGCTGGGGCAGGGGGTGAGAGGTGGTGGGCGGAAGTGAGATTCAGCTGAAGGGAATAGGGGCAGATAGACTTCGAGGGGTTGGCTCCGTGGAATGAAAAGAAACTTTAACACCGGGGACACAGAATGGGGTATTTGCCAGACGGAGCACAAGCTTGAGAGCAAGACACGCTTCGCTATGTCAAATCCCTAGTTTCACCACATGTTGTGGCCATCGGTGCCAGAACCTGGCGGTAATCCTATGGTGTCGGCATTCATCCCGCCGCCAGCTCATTGTACTGCGGAGGAAACGGAGGGCACGCCCTGGCCCTGGCCAGGCATCTGGGTGGCGCGGTCCGGCTTACAGCCAAACCTGACTGCCAGACCCTGCACAACTGTAATCTGTTTCTGTGCAACATGGCATTGCACGTACCTTGCACAAAGTTTACGTAATAGCAGTTGAAAACACCACACTGATGCATAGTACCTTGTTTCTTAGCATTATTCCCCGTGGAGTTGGCTTTGTATCATTTTATTTTAGCAGTGTTAAAATACAAATGGACTGGGGCTGCCTGTTTAAACAAAATTGGCATATAAAATAGGCAAAGGGCATCTCAGACATTGCAGGTGAAATGCAAAATAGTACGGCCACTTCAAAACATTTGACATATGTCCAAACAAAGGAAAAACTAGGAGGAAACATCGATCACTGGTCCATGGATAAACCAATGGTAGTCTGTCCATACAATGGATATTATTTGGCAGCAAAGAAAAGGAAGTGCTAATGCAACAATGTGGGGGATCTCAAAAGCCTTATGCTAAGTGAAAGAATCTAGATGCCAAAGCTAAATATTGTAGATTCCATTTGTATCTCATTCTGGGAAAGGCAAAACAAGAGCAAAAGAAACCAGACTGGAGGCAGTAAAAGAGGAAGGACCTCCAAGTGGCACAAGGCAACTTTCTGGGGGTTGGAAATATTTTCTATCTTGATTTGTGTGCTTAAACAAGTGTATAGATTGTCAAAACTGACAACTATGTGAGCTCCTGAATCAGATCATCCCTTTTGTATAATTAAGTGGATTTTGGACAGTTCCTTTCAGTTAGCAGTAACTTTCACTGAGATTATTAAATGTATATCCTGATGCCTCATCCAGGATCAAAATTTATTTAACGTACATCATGTCAATAGACTTAATACTGCAAGTGTCATTTAAGGAAGAGAACGTTTGGGTGAAATATCGATAGAATCTTCTGTATTCCATATGTTGCTCAAAAAAATTAAAGTTAACATTTTTTGTATCATTATAGCCACAAAACGAGTATATTGAGTTACACCGGAAGCGCTATGGATACCGTTTGGATTACCATGAGAAAAAGAGAAAGAAGGAAGGTCGAGAGGCTCATGAACGTTCAAAGAAGGCAAAAAAGATGATTGGGCTGAAGGCTAAGCTCTACCATAAGCAGCGCCATGCTGAGAAAATACAAATGAAAAAGACGTGAGTGATCGTTTGTTGTAGCAAGTTAACACCTTTTGAGTAATAGTTATTAAAAATGATAATCTTGAATCTTTTCCCATTTTGATAGTATCAAGATGCATGAAAAACGAAACACCAAACAAAAGAATGATGAAAAGACTCCACAAGGAGCAGTACCTGCATATCTGCTGGACAGAGAGGGACAGTCCCGAGCTAAAGTACTTTCCAATATGATTAAACAAAAACGAAAAGAGAAAGCGGTAAGCAATAAAAATGCCTTCTTTTTTGTTCAGGAGAGTTACTTGAAATCAAATTTGAGGGACTTGGTTTGTTTTTTTCGGTTCTATTGGAAACATAAAGTCCAACTATTCTCAGTTAGCTGTTGAAGTCTTTATAATTTCACTTTATGTAAAATGTTTAAGTAATATAATTGCTTTCTCATCAGCCAGCAAGCACATTTTAGTATTAGTTTTCTTGAAAATTTATTAGAAAATAACATATCTTTAGTTTTTAAAAAATTATTTAAAAACAAAAAGTAAGCAGTGAATCTCAAATTTAGTATTTTTACAGCCTCCTATACTGTGCTATTGTAAAGGATACAACCTCCGCTTGTTTATGCTGCCCCACAGTGTGTCAAATTGGTTTAAAAGTTAGTGGAGCCCTAGCTGGTTTGGCTCAGTGGATAGAGCATGGTCCTGGGTTTGATTCCAGTCAGGGGCACATCCCAGGTTGCAGGCTCATCCCCAATGAGGGGCGTGCAGGAGACAGCTGATTAGTGATTCTCTCTCATCATTGATGTTTCTATCTCCCTCTCCCTCTCTGAAATCAATCAATATATATATATATATATATATATATATATATATATATTTTTTTTTTTTTTTTTTTTTTTTTTTTAATGGTTGGTTAGTGGGAAACATCCTCAAGTGATTGAACACAAATAAAAATTCAGCAGTTAAAAATTTTTTTCTGGTTTGTGCTTAGTGTTAAATTCTGCTAAAAACAGAGGAAAAGGCATGTATATACTATTTTATACACCTGGTGATAGATGGATAGGAATCCAGGAAGCAGTAGGACTTGTGGTAACTGTATTTGAAGAACTTAACAGCTTCCAAATTTCATTTTTAAGATGTTACTGCTGGTTTTTTTGTTATGTAATTATGCGAAATTAGAATGGTAGAACTTTAGCACCAAAAGAAACTTTAGAGGTTATCTAGACAACCCCTCTTTATTTTACAGATGGAAGAGATTGGAGTCTAGGAATTTGTAAATCATCTGCGAGATCACGTGCCTATGAATTGGTAGAGTAGCCTCTAGGACCTTTATCTTAGTAATAAGTCCAGAATTCTTTCTACTGTCTTGCACTGCTATAGTTTTTTTCATAGAATTTAATGTGCATTCTAGGGAAGTACAAAATATCTGGAGATGATTTTGTCTAGTAATGCATTCTGAAAATCCATTTGAGGTAGAAATACAAAGATGTTAAAAGACAGTCTTCCAGTTTTACACTTTTAGTAATAAGCACATACACTACCTAGAGAAGTCAGTGTCTTAGTACAGGTGGTATTTTTCATCCATAACAAAGCTTTAAGATTTTTAGCTTAAGCAAACCATTATATTTAATAATTAGAAATCCAGTGCATGAAATTCATGCACTGGGGGGAGGTCCCCTCAGCCCGGCCTGCACCTACTCCAATCTGAGACCCCTTGGGGGATGTCCGGCTGTGGGACATCCCTCTCACAATCCGGGCTTACTGGCTCCTAACCACTCACCTTAACCACTTCTGCCTGCCAGCCTGATCACCCCCTAACCATTCCTCTGCCAGCCCAGTTGACACCTAACTGCTCCCCTGCCAGCCTGATTGTCCCCAACTGCCCTCCCCTGCAGGCCATCTTGTGACAATTTGGGGGCATCTATCTTTTGATGATGTGGGATGGCCATCTTGTGATGCGAGGACATGAGATTCAATTTGCATATTACGTCTTTATTATTATATATAGAGGACTGTGATGTACCTATTATTTAGAAAAACCTATGATATATAAACTACTTTCAATTATTCGGGGGTTTGTGAGGAAACAGTGCAGATCTCTAGAAAACATTGGAGCCTGATCTTGTTGGTTAAGAAAAAAAATGAACTACTGTTTTGTACAACTAAAATGTGACTTCTTATTCCCATTGTCTTTTACTAACAATGTAAGTTTTAACTGGTCTATTTTTAGGGAAAATGGGAAGTCCCTCTGCCCAAAGTTCGTGCCCAGGGAGAAACAGAGGTATTAAAAGTTATTCGAACAGGAAAGAGAAAGAAAAAAGCATGGAAGAGGATGGTTACGAAAGTCTGCTTTGTTGGAGATGGCTTTACTCGAAAACCACCTAAATATGAAAGATTCATTAGGCCAATGGTAAGTCCTTTGCAAAAGTGCAGTGGCTTAAATATGAGTTCCTGTATTAAACCAGGGTAAGTACATTACAGTTTCCTGAAATTTCTAAATTGGTACAAAATACAGGTTGAAAGACATTTTAAGATTGTTTTTGTTATTTTAAGTTAGTGATAAAGGATTGCTTAGGACTTTTCCACTATCATCAAAATCTTGTTTTCAGTTTCATAAGAAATTTGAGATGAAAAAGAATTTTCATTACATTGTCAGTGAATCTTCACTTAAAAATGCCTTATTAGGATCTTCATTTTCCACATGAAGTAATTTTACTCATTCAGTAAGTGATCTACTATATGCCAGATTCTTATTTGAGAGCAGTTAAAGAACTGAGTAGGGTTGTTTTCAAGAGTCAATTCTGGTTTACTAAGGGGAGTAGCTTAATGCTTTGAAAACACTCAGTATGCAAACATTGCATAAAGTAAATTTAATGTAAAAGTGTGGGACTTTACTTTCTGTTGACAGCAGTAATGATCAAAACCTGTCGGCCTATTCCTCCCCTCCCCCCTGCCACAACCAAATATAATTGAAGATATGTTTTACAAAAGCTTTTAAACAGACTAAATTATTCTCCCAACTACAATAGGTATCCAGTCTGCTTAGAGAAACAAAGAATCAGAGGAAAACTGGCACTGTTACTCTAGTTCTCAACCTGAGTAATTTTCAATGGATTAAAATGTCAAACAAGCCTGTTTCTATAAATAAAGTTCTATGGGAACAGTCATGCCTATTCATATTGTCCATGGCTATTTTTTTCCCTGCAAAATTTGAGTAGTTTCAGCAGAGACCATATGGGCTGCAAAGCCTAAAATACTCATTTAGGTCATTTATGGAAAACATCCTATCCACCCATCTCTAGATTACATCATGGACTCCCCTTATTTGATTTTATATTCATAATCTCCTAAATACATTTTGGTGATCTTATCAGTTCTACAGGGAGAGAACATGCCAGTCAGATTGTTCTAGACTTTCAGTAGCTTGGCAGATAATATATTTTATTGTGAATTAATCAAATGGCATTCTGAATGGTTTCTTGCCAGGTTGATTAATTAATGAGTCCTTTACTAAGAACTTATTTAGTATCATTTGCTGCCTACCTCTACTTAGATAGTTATTGCATTCAAGAGACTGCAAAGTGTTGTGGCTTTTTAACACACAGAGTTCTTAAAGACCACATCGAGGTGACTGGGTGACTGGGGTCTCTTCCAGTCCTTGACCAGTGTTACCATCAGTGCAAAAAGAGCTAACAGCTTCCATCATGGAAATTAGCTGAGGTACTTCAAGACTTGGAATCAGAATGCTTAAATTTGATTCCATTCATTCACTGTTTAACCTGTGAACAAGTCATTTAGCCTGCTAATCTTCGTTTTAAAAAAGTAAGGGTAATTGTATTTATCCTGTAACAGAGATTTTTAGTCTAGAATTGTATTTTTATTTGATACATTAGATTTTACTTTCAACTCTTGTTTTTGTTTTTGAGACTTGGAAAAGATATGCAAAAAAAGATCACTACTCATTGTTAACATTTTGGACTCAAACATTCTTGTGTTTATCTTACTAGGGCTTACGTTTCAAGAAGGCCCATGTAACGCACCCTGAACTGAAAGCGACCTTTTGCCTGCCAATTCTTGGTGTGAAGAAGAATCCCTCCTCCCCACTTTATACAACCTTGGGTGTTATTACCAAAGGTACTGTCATCGAGGTGAACGTGAGTGAGTTGGGCCTTGTGACACAAGGAGGCAAGGTTATTTGGGGTAAGTAAATTTGTTAGTATGGGGATGCTGCTCTTGGAATCCTAAAAAAAAATTTTCAAATTGGCAAAGTACACAGTAAATTGTAATGTGGAAGAGATAGATAAGTTCACACTTGATGTAAATCAGATTTAAATCTTTAGGAAGAATATTTTTTGTAGAAAAGACAGTTATGAATATAATTTAACTTACTAGTTTTAGTTATGTGAGATGTACTACATTGCTAGGCTTTCATGCTGTATTTAAAAAGAAATTACCAGGGAAGATATGATAACTAAAAAATATTGGAAGAAATACAATAAATTAACCATGAGTAGGAGAAAGCATATATCAAACAGCCACACTCTTTCAGTGGTAATGAAAAACTAAATATAATTATAAATTCCTTTTCCTCATTTTCTTTTCTGCTTTTAGTGCCCAGATAGTCCTAAACTTGTTCTTTGAAAGGGAAGAATTCTATGTAATAAAAGGCTAATATGCCTTCTACCAGGAGTTTGACCAAAGGGGCGGGGCCAGATGGCTGACCAAACACCCACAGCCCCTCCTCCTGGCCTGTACTCCCCACCCCATCCCAATTGGGGGCAAGTTAGCCAGACCCCACCCATGCACAAATTCGTGCACTGGGCCTCTGGTATCATCTATAACTCAAGGTTTTGTGTTTTTTTTAAAGTTTTTTATTAGCTAATCTCTCTTTTTTTCTTCATTTTGTTTCCTTAGGAAAATATGCCCAGGTTACCAACAATCCTGAAAATGATGGGTGCATAAATGCAGTCTTACTGGTTTGACAGCAGTTTCATATAAGTAACTTTGTAATTGTTGAAGACTATACACCAATCAGAAAAATTCCTTTACTATGTTTCTGAGTGCTATCAAACAGCTTACATCAAACAGTCTGCAGTCCTCAAGAGAATTATTTATTCTATTGTAAAGAATATTAAAATGGCCCAGTTTTATAAATTGGCCTTTATTTTGGGGTCTGTTTATCATGAAATTGAATGATTAAAAAAAACAATTATAACAGTTTCTTACTTCATCAATATTTGTATTAATAAGTGGGTATTCAGCAGTGCAGATCTTTTATCCTAAGAGTTAATGCACACTTAATATGGGGCCTAGGCTATAAAACTATCATATCTAAAACCTCACCTCATTTAGTCATCATTAGTTCTAAAAAATGTAGCACTAACACACCTAGTAATGTTTAAGTTTATAAAGTATTCACATTAAAGGCATACGAGAAAAGGTACACTACAGTAAGTTGAATTCAGAAGGAATTTAGATAAATCTTTTCTCCCATAATCCTTAATTTCTTCAGATAGTAAATCAGTAGTTAGTATTTTAAACATTTTTTTTTCCCCTCATCATATATAGTAACTCCTACTTGGAACTGTGCTTTCTATCTGCAACATGAAAAACACCAAAATGTTTATACTTTTAGCATTTTCTGTATTCTGAACTCAGGGTAGTATATTTATATTTTTAGAATCTGAAAATTTTGTTTTAATAATTCCAGGGGAAAAAATGGTTTTAAAAAGAAAAAGACTGCACTGATAACCTTAAAAGACAAATATATTTGTAATTACATAATATAAAACAGATCATGTTTTAGGGTAACTATCAAAGCACCTTTGTGATATAAATTATGTTTGTGGCTTTGAGTTTTAGGGTGTCTGCATATTAATCTATAATCGTTTTAAATTGTTTATTTTTAAAAATCTGTTTTGAAGGTACAACCGATATGAACAAATCCAGTTTCTAAACACACCATCAGTGAAATTAGGGAAAAGGGAAAGAATTTCAAAACACAGACCAAGAACAATCACAAAATATATGTTTAATTACTACTTTTAAACTAAAAAAAAAACAACTACCAAGAAAATTTCAGTAAGACTTGCTATTCTAAATACTGCAATATCTTTTCTAAGTACTAAAAACAATAGGTTTGGAACACAGACAGGAAAAGAAAGGCTGGCTAGTCCTTGGGAATGACTATCCAGGATAATACAATTACTTCACAATGACAGAAGCTTAACCTTTCTTACGATTAGTTTTAACATGATTTTGCCACAAATAGAAATGAATGATTTAGGTTTTGGAAGATGAAAGAAAACACTGACTAAAGGTAATAAGCACATGATGCTACATAACTGAAATTTTTTTTTAAATGGGCAAATTATACAAAGAAAGCGTGATATTAAAGAAACATAACTAATCACATCCATGAAATATCAGGCAATGCCTTAAACAATATTGATGTTAATGGACATACCAGGCAGAAATAAATTTGTAAAATACTGTTACACAGATGAGTAATGTTAGTATAAGTTCTTTATTTACACTTTAAGAATCTGTTTGTTTGCTGGTGTGACCAAATTTAAAAGGTAATCCCTAAGGGTAAAGCAGAACATAAGAGCAGATAACAGATACTAGGTAAACTCAATTTGATGCAATCATAACCCACCAAGATAATCTTCTAAAGTCACTGAAACCATGTTAGGTAGTACAGTGTTCTGGTGGTCAGCAAAAAGTGAACCATTAATCACTAGTTGTTATCCTTCCTGTGATAATTCTCTGTACTTAATGGAAAACACCATGAATATAGACAATTTAAGCAAGTGACTGATATTCTGTCATGCTATTTGTTTTTGTAAAAAATCATAATAGATCCTCTCACCTTTAAAAGCTGTAGAGGAGCTTTATAATAAATGAATTAAGAGGCCAAAATACTGCCCTCATAAACCTTAAATATACTTATTTCTGTGATGTCTAGCAATTGAATAAACAAAAGTAGAACTAAAATTTTGTTAACTACTGTATATTACACGAGGAAATACATACGTATTTACACAAACTAAAGTGAACTTCCTTCTCTAAGAATAAGATTTCTAAACAAAACAATCCACAAAGGATTACAGAATGACTGGACACTCAACAATTGGACTAGTTGTTTGAAATCAAATTTCTGTCCTCTAGTTCTGAAAGTTTTATTAATGACTTGCAAAAACAAGTATCTGATAAGTTTTAATTAGTTTCCTGGTTGACATGTTTTATCACATTCTTTACTGAAAATGAACATGTTAGTAAACGTGTTTTTCATGGGACTCACTTTTTCTCCTAAGTGCCAAAATAACATTTTCTGCAAGACAACGTGTCCTATCTATAAGTGCCAAAATAACATTTTTTGCAAGACAACGTGTAACAAGTTTTCTTATGTACTGAACAAAAAGTTTCGAAATTGCCTAAAATTCACATCTTGTTTAAGAGTAAACCAAACAAGTTCAATAAGTTTATACTGTTAGTCCCTAGCAATCATACATGAATAACTATCCATTTCTTTTTGTGATCTCAGTAACCGTATTCACACATCAAGAGTTGTCAGTGCATTCAACCTTCTTAAATTCTACTTTTTTAAAGAAAGTATTTTAAAGAGAAAATGAATAATCCCAAGTAAAATAAGTGTTGAATTTTTATAATAAGAAATTTAAAGTGGAAAGGTTAAGAATAAGAACTCACTAAATCTTAATCTTTAGTTCCCTATTTGTGGTTTTAACAAATGTTTTTCATAAAACATATAAGACAAACATTTGATAGGGAATTCATAGTAATACTTTTTCTCTTTCACTTATTTGCTTTTTTTGAGAAAATAGCCAAAGTGCTGTAATTTTCATTTAGTGTGAAATCTGGCTTATCCCAACCAATAATTAAAGAAAATTTGGGGATACAAGTACTCAAAATTTTACAATGAATAGGAAGGTTTGCCATCTTGCTGCTTAAAGAACTTAGATCTTTCTAAAATACCAAGATCCCCCTGAAAAATGTAACAACATAACTTGACTGTGGACTAAAAAACATTTAACATCAATCCTTAGCATTATTTGTCAAATAATGACAAAAAACCCTAACTCTTTTTTTCATAAAGAACCAAGCCTGTTGTAGAAACAATCTTAAGTCTCAAAGCATTCTTCAACTGAAGTACCTTCAACTGAAGTACACATCTGAGTATACATAATTCTTCCAAAGAGCAGTATTGTTTCAAGATTCTATTTGGACCCTAAAAATAACCGTTTTGTTCATTTCTAAACAAATTACAAAAATTAACAATTGAGAGTTTTGTTTTTTAAGTTTTCCTGGGCAAAGGCCTTTGCTATGGCAACACAATGAACAGGCTGCTTATAACCTGTCCTCACAAAACAAATCAAGAACGAAAAGCAAGACTGAAGAAGAAAGCCTCCAATTTGATTTAAGCTCTGGAATCTAAAGCTCCTAGGCAGCCTTATTGCTATCATCCAGATCTAAGATTGTAGGGCACAGTTTCATACCTACCCAAAAATGATGCCAAGGGCATAAGCTGGCAGGCAGGCAGGCAAATCTTTTGACAGGATTCACTCCGTGAGTTAGGCAAGTAGATGAACGCTGAGAGGAATATAAATAAAATTCTAGAATAAGGGCAGTAGCAGGATTAAGGATAACTTAAGAAGGGACCTCTTCTAATTTATACATGTTAACTAGGTGAACAAAAGTATATTCCCCAGCTTTATGAGTACCTACATGCCCGTTAATCCCTGACACTACTGTTAATATTAGATGTTATAAGGAGTTGGAGAGTCTGTGCCTATTCAGAAAAGTCAAAGGAAGAAACTGCATCTATACAACAATGAAATAAGAGGCCAAAATACCGTCCTCATAAACCTTCCATCATAAATTTCTGGTATTTGTGCTCTCATTCAGTCGGAATTATTCTAATTTACTGCCATTTTTGTTTATGCATGCCTACATTTTTTTAAATGGTGATTAGTTTTGATATTTAAGCTAAAATTTCTAGAACACTCCCCAAGTTTACTATTTAAAACTCAAGTGTAAAAGATTTCTGTAATCCTCACAATGAAAAGCATCCTACTTCCCATTTTTTAAGTTTATATATCCTGAAATATTTAGGGTCAGATGGCCCCAATTACTAAAGAAAATACAGTATGATCTGGTTTCCCAAAGTTGAAACATGGTTAATAAAAATTAAACTATATTTACACAAAATAGCCTAAAAATTAAAACAATGATGAATCCTAAGTCCTAAGGAGGATTGAAAAATAACATCATAAATAAGCTCAAAGGGAAGTTCCAGAATTTTTGTCCTGTGCCCCTTGCTATTTATTACCGTATCTTAAAAACAATCACGTTACAAAGAAGAGGATTTGTGATCTGCATTTCTTCAGGTCAGCTTGGCTTTCTTCTTAGCGGGTCCTTTATATCCTTTGGCCTTTCTTCTTAAATTCCGCCTGTCTACAACAGGCACTTCCACTTCTATTTCCTCTGAGCTGCTATCCACTGTTTTTTCTATTGACTGTGTAAACTGATCCAGCTGCTCAGAAGATCCTTCCGACTGCTCCTCTGACTGGTTCTTCTGTCCTGCATTTGGTGCAAATGGCATATCTTCAAGTTCAACCTCGATCAAAGAACTCTGAGGAAGACCTGGAGACGTTTCCTGGGGCTCAGACACCCCCTCTTCAACCTGGTCTTCCAATGAGGGAGGAGTATTGGGTGACAAATTTTCAGAGATAGGTTCTTCAGAAAGTTCAGCTACCACAGAGTTTGGAAAACCACTGTCAGATCGTTCTTCATGTGGGATAGTGGCAACATTGTCTGAACTCACAAAATGTGCCTTCTTCCTTTGAACTTGTGGCAGTTTCTCTTCTGTGTGCCCCTTCCCATCATCAGATGGGCCTTCGTTTAATAACTCTTCTGAGTCAGTTACAAGTGAGGTCTAAAAAATAAAAACCTGGTGAGCAAACTTTTCCAACATAGTCCTTACACAAATTATTCTTAGAAACCAATATATAATGACACTAAACTACATTTTAAAGACTTCAGTATTCATTACTTAACCATGTGTACATATTCTTAGTACAAGTCAATTTCTTCAAAATTGTCTTTGATAATTTGCATACATTAAGTTCTTGCTTTAACAATATGATAAAAAGAATAATTTTAACTCAAAGAAGTACTTAAGATATTTTAAATTTCAGATCAAGATTTTTCAAAGCAATGATTCAGCTCAAAAGTTTTTATTTTCTTGGTGTTACTGGAGCCAGAATCAAGAGTCCCTTGGGACGTGACACTATGCCACCCCACTAAATTTGACTATGGTTTTGTTTAGATGACAGGTAAGGGCAATGGAAGTTATTTATCCGAGATGCTAATAAAATAATTATTTAGGGACGTGACACTATGCCACCCCACTAAATTTGACTATGGTTTTGTTTAGATGACAGGTAAGGGCAATGGAAGTTATTTATCCGAGATGCTAATAAAATAATCCTATACAACAGTTTTTTAACTTTATATTAAAATATTCAAAATAAAAAATTAAATTTCTTTTAAAATAGTCCAAGTTTTTCCCACGAATCTAATATGTTTCCCTAATTAAACAAATTAAAATGATCATGTAAGCAAATAGGTACTCAAATATTTGACAAAAAAAAATTTATCCATTTTTCTAAGCTTTTCCCTCTACAAAGTAAAACTCATTTTGTAAGAATGAGTCCTATATAATAAAAGACTAACATGCAAATTGACCATACCTCCACTACACCCACCAGCCATGCCCACCAGCCAATCAGAGCAAATATGCAAATAAACCCAACCAAGATGGCTGCAGCCACAGAGAGCAGGAGGGAGGCTTAGGTTTCCCCAGCAATGGAGGAATCCAAGCTTTCTACCTGTTCTTGCTAGCCAAGGCCTCCACTCAAGGGTACAAAGTTTCAATTACAGAAGGTAAATAAATTCCAACAGAAATGGCTGCCACCACAGAGCGAGCAGAAGGCTTCAATTATAGAAGATACATGAATCCCAGTTGCCAGGGCCTCCGCTTGGGTTGCTGGTGGGGCATGGCCGGCCTGCAAACCACAACAGGCCCCTGGTCCAGGCCTCCCATACTCCAAGGGAACCCCCACCCTGATCCAGGACACCTTTCAGGGCAAACCAGCTGGCCCCCACCATGCACCAGGCCTCTATCCTATCTAATAAAAGAGTAATATGCAGCCGAAACCAGTCTGGCTCAGTGGATAGAGCATCAGCCTGCGGACTGAGGGGTCCCAGGTTCGATTCCGGTCAAGGACATGTACCTTGGTTGCGGGCACAACCCTAGTGGGGGGTGTGCAAGAGGCAGCTGATCAATGACTCTCTCTCATTGATGTTTCTAGCTCTCTATCCCTCTCTCTTCCTCTCTGTAAAAAAAAAATCAATAAAATATTTTTTAAAAAATTTTTAAGAGTAATATGCAGATTGACCATCACTTCAACACACAAGATGGCTGTTCCCATGTGGTCAAAGATCCTGCCTCCATGTGGACACACGATGACCACAAGATGGCCAGCAGGGGAGGGCAGTTGGGAGGGACCAGGCCAGCAGAGGGGGGAAGTTTGGCGTGACCGGGCAAGCAGGGAAGGGCAGATGGGGGGACCAGGCTGGCAGAGAAGTGAAGTTGGGGCAACGGGGCCTGCAGGGAAGGGCAGTTGGGCAGGACGCAGGCCTCCAGAGGAGAGCAGTTTGGGGGGGAGGGGACCAGGCCTGCAGGGGAGGGTAGTTGGGGGGACCAGGCCTGCAGGGGAGGGTAGTTAGGGGTGACCAGGCCTGCAGGGGAGGGCTGTTAGGGGGAAACAGGCTGGCAGGGGAACAGTTAGGCATCAATCAGGCTGGCAGAGGAGTGGTTAGGGGGTGATCAGTCTGGCAGGCAGAAGCGATTAGGGGCAATCAGGAAGGAAGGCAGACAAGCGAGCAGTTGGGAGCCAGCAGTCCTGGATTATGAGAGGTCAGTCAGACATCCCCCAAGGCGTCTCAGATTGGAGAGGGTGCAGGCTGGGCTGAGGGCCAACCCCTCTTCATGCATGAATTTCGTACATTGGGCTTCTAGTTAGGTTATAAAGATTTTAATTTATGAAATATTACTGATTGCATCTCTGTAAAATACTAAATCTAATATAAAATTTAATTTTCCTAAAGGACTGTACATGTTAAAGGAGGAAAATATACATACTACACTGCCCCTGCCATGTCACCAACGCTGGACTATGTTAACTATAAAACATTAGGTTAGCTAGTCAGTTTTTTCAGTGGTTGGAGTGTCAGCCCACAGATTGAAGGGTTCAGGATTCAATTCTGGTTAAGGGCACAGCCTCAGTTGCAGGCTCAATTCCAGGGGCTCATGCAGGAGGCAACCAATCAATTTGTCTCTCTCACATCGATGTTTCTCTCTTTCTGTCTCTCCCCCCTCCCTCCTACTCTGTCTAAAAAGAATCAATGGAAAAAATATCCTCAGGTAAGGATTAATAAAAAAATAAAAAAAAATTAAAAAATTAGGTTATTTCCCTCTTACCTTATCCTGTGCAACAGCCTCAAGGGGTTTTGAAGATTCTACCACCGGTGGAACAAGATTTGTAGGGTCTTCATTGGAATTAAAAGACTGCAATTTTAATTCTTGATCTAAAACTTCACCAAGAGAGTCATTCTCTTCAGGTATAGGAGAGGTCTTAATAGTATCATCCATTACTTCACCATTCATAGGCTCTAATTCAAATTCCTACACAGAGGTGGAGGGGGATAAATCAGGACATAATTACTGGCTCACTTATTTGTCATGTAATGTGGATCCATTCTCAGTCCAGTGGGGCTTGACAGGGGACCTGAGGCTGTGCCCGCCCCTGCCTGGTGGGGCTTGATGGAGGACCTTAAGTCATGCCCCCCCCCCCCCCCCCCCGCCCCGTCTGGGCTGAGGGACCTCAGGCCACACCCCCCATCCTGGCGCTGGGCCAGAGGACCTGAGGCTATGCCCCCTGCCAGCGGGACTTGACAAGGGTGGAACTGGCTGGGTCTGGATCTAGCCTAATGGGTGGGGGGACAGCCAGGTCTGGGTCTCAGGTGACTTTGAGGTGCATGTGGGTGGGCGGGGACTTTACTCTGGGTGCCCCAGACTCTCACAGGAGGAAGGTTTTCATACACATTTTACTAACTTTCTTTCATCTCTGACACTTACATTATAGAGAAAGGGCAAGTAGCAATATTAAATTATTTCCTCTAATTAATCCCCTTTTAATGTGCACGAATTTCATGCACCTGCCACTAGTATAAGAATATACTCAAAATGGATTAAAGACTTAAATGTAAGACCCAAAACCATAAAACTATTATAAGAAAACATAGGCAGTAAAATACTGCACATTTTTCTTAGCAATGTGTTTTCTGATACATCTTCTTGGGTAAGGGAAATGAGAAAAAAATAAATGGGAGTACATTGAATTAAAAAGGTTTTGCACAGTAAGGGAAACTATCAAGAAAACAAAAAGAGAAACAACTGAATGGGAGAAGATATTTGACAGTGATATATCTGATAAGTGGTTAATATCCAAAACTTATAAAGAACACAGAAAACAACACCAGAAAAGCAAATAACCCAACTAAAAAGTAAGCAAAAGACCTGACTAGACACTTCTCCAGAGGACATACAGAAGGCCAATAGAGATGCCACCTCACACCTATCAAAAAAGTTATCAATAAATCAATAAACAACAAGTCTTAGAGAGCATGTGGGAAAAAAGGAACCTCATGCACTGTTGGTGGGAATGCAGATGGGCGCAACCACTATGCAAAACAGTGTGGATGTTCTCAAAAAATTAAAAATGAACCCTAGGCATTTTGGCTCTGTGATAGAGTGTTGGCCCACAGTCTGAAGGGTCATGGGTTCAATTCTGGCCAAGACATGTACCTTGGTTGCAGGCTCGATCCCCAGTCCTGATCAAGGCACATGCGAGAGGCAACCAAGTAACATGTCTCTGTAACTTCAATGTCTCAATCTCTCTCTCTCTCTCTCTCTCTCTCTCTCTCTCTCTCTCTCTCTCTCTCAAGCAACATGTCTCTGCAACTTCAATGTCTCAATCTCTCTCTCTCTCTCTCTCTCTCTCTCTCTCTCTCTCTCTCTCAAGCAACCTGTCTCTGTAACTTCAATGTCTCAATCTCTCTCTCTCTCTCTCAATCTCTCCTCTCCCCCCCCCCCCCCCCCCGCTTCCTTCCACTCTAAAAATCAATGGAAAAATATCCTCAGGTGAGAATTAACAAAACAAAAAATTAAAAGTGGAATTGACTTATGACCCAGGATTCCAATTCTGGGAATGTATCTGAAGAAACTTGAAACATTGATTTGAAAGAATATATGCACACCTACGTTCATTGCAGCATTATTTACAAGAGCCATGATATAGAAGCAACCCATTAGTCTCTTTTTAAAATATGTACTTTGTTTTCCAAATTTTCTACAAGAAAAAAAATTAAGAGTTTTTTTTTTTTAATTAGAGTTTCAAAAAATAGAGAAAGCTAAATTGGTGTAAGTTAAGAAAATAAAATTGGTAGTTTCACCAGTTTAGCTACTGGTTGGATTCAGCAAGCAGGTAAAAGATTTTTAAAGAAACTTCAGCACATATGAAAGAAGAAATAAGTAATCTGTAGAGAGAAGATTAAAAATATTAAAGAAAAAGGAAAGGAAATTAATAGAGAAGAAAAAAGATATGGATAAATATTTGAGGAACTAAAGAAATCAAGCCAGATACAGATTTTAGTCACAAAGGATTTTCCTGAATATTTTCTGGTGTTTTTTGTTTTTTGTTTTTAAATGAATTTAGTTATTTTAGCAGGAATTTGTAGTCATATATATTTTTCTGGGAAACTCATTCATATCCTCCTAACCAAAATAGGATTGCAATTAAAGACCTGTTGGACCTTAAAGCATTCTAACTGGTTCTATAAGGTAGATAAAGAAAGTTGAGCCGAAGCCGGTTTGGCTCAGTGGATAGAGCGTCAGCCTGCGGACTGAAGGGTCCCAGGTTTGATTCCAGTCAAGGGCATGTACCTTGGTTGCGGGCACATCCCCAGTAGTGGGTGTGCAGGAGGCAGCTGATCGATGATTCTCTTTCATCGATGTTTCTGACTCTCTGTCCCTCTCTCTTCCTCTCTGTAAAAAAATCAATAAAATATATTAAAAAAAAAAAAAAGAAAGTTAAGGTTTTGTATACTTCCATTCATTTTATTTATTAAGTGACCTCCCACCTTTTCACTATCTTGCTTCTCCAGATGTGACTGGGTTTCAGGTGCTGAATGAGCATCTTTATCACTATTTCCGTTGTCAAATTCTATCACATTCTGTACATGTTCTTCTTTCGGTAATTCTTCTGAGCTCTCTGATATGCGTGGAGTAGACTCCAACCTAAAAAAAAAAAAAGAAAGAAAGAGAGAAAGAAAGAAAACCATTCTTACATGCTTTCTTAAGGATGAATATGAATTTCAGAAATCTGTTGATAAAGTAATACTTTAAAGAATCAACTAAGTGTTGTTCAGTCAACAATTTCAAATTTTACAGGTCCAAGACCAACCTTTTCATCCTATAAATTGATTCTCCTTCCTATCTTGTTCTCCAATTCAATTAATAACATCAACATCTTTTCAAACATGTAAACGAGACCTTCCCTTTATTCATATCTGATAATATCTTATTCTATTAAAGTAAACATACATCCTAGTATACCTGGGACCATAGCGTTTAAGGCTTTTATCCCAGCATTAGCATATTATAATGTCTCTTTCTCAAAAATATCAGTTCGTACCATATTGATATTGTTTAGTTCTACTTCCGAAATGCCTTTCAAACATATCCCTAACTTACTATTACCATTTTCAAGCCCCAATTCTCTCTGGAGAATTCTCACAGTAACTTCTCCCAACTCATCTTTTCTAGATATATAGATAATAGATAAGTAGATAGATAGATAGATAGACAGACAGACAGACAGATAGACAAGGAGGTTGGGGAAAATAGTGATGTAAAAGAAATATCAATCAGTTGCCTCTCATTCACACCTCAACCAATATTGTACCTACAACCTGGGCATGTGCCCTGACTAGGAATCAAACCGGCAACGTTTCAGAGCTCAGAACAACACTAAACCAATTTAGACGCACCAACCAGGGCACCCAATTCATCTTAATACTTATTCTTTAGTAAGGTTTTCAGAGCTGTGTTTCTCATATACATATCTGTACCTGTGACAGCCCCACTCAGAAAACTGGTAGTTTTCTATGGCTAGAGAATCCTATATAATAAAAGAGAAACATGTAAATTGATCGTACCTCCGCTACGCTCACCAAACAGGAGTATGCAAATTAACCCAACAAAGATGGTGAGTTATTTTGAATACTCAGGCACTGAGCGGCCAGAGTCCCAGAACGTCCCAGCCACCCCAGGCCTACAGGTGCAGACACCAAGCGGCTGAGGGTGGGGCGGGAACATCCCCGCGTCACCATGGCGACGTGGCAGATATTCCCGCCCCCCCGAATGCTTGTACTTGTGCCCTTGCCAAGCAGCAGCCCAGGTCTACGCCCCCAGCCCAGCATGGCCTAGGATCTCCACACGCCTCCAAGACCAGCGCCCACAACACGGGACTGGCTGGCGGCCTCAGGGGCGTGTGGAGGCTGGGCAGTGCCACACAATGGCCGGGGATCTCCGCATGCTCCCAAGCCGGGCACCCGTGACGTGAGGCTGGCCGCCAGCCTCAGAAGCATGCCCCCTCACACACAGGGCGGCAGGGACACACCCCTAGCCCAGTGGACACAATGCAGAGGGTCCTCTGTACATGAGCTGCAGAGGAAATACCTTTTCTTTTTTTCTTTTTTTTAATATATTTTATTAATTTTTTTTACAGAGAAAAGGAAAAGGGATAGACAGTTGGAAACATCATTGAGAGAAAAACATCAGCTGCCTCCTGAACACTCCCCACTGGGGATGTGCCCCCAACACGCCCTTAACAGGAATCAAACCTGGGACCCTTCAGTCTGCAGGCCGACATTCTATCCACTGAGCCAAACCAGTTTGAGCATAAACACCTTTTCTGACCGCTCATTGGGTAAACTCCCTGTAAGCTGCCACTTGCAGTGTTCTTGATAACTTGGGTAATAAGAATCTAAGAAGGTGATCTAGGGTTTTTCCACCACACTCCTGAAGGAAAAAATGAAGGTTTGCTGCTGGAGAGGCTAAGAAATATCATATCCTGCCCTAGCAGGTTTGGCTCAGTGGATAGAGCCTCAGCCTGCCGCCCACAGGGTCAGGGTTCGATTCTGATCAAGGGCGTGTAACCTAGGTTACAGGCTCCTCCCTGGCCCGGGCCCAGGCCAGGGCTCATGCAGGAGGCAACCAATCAAAGTGTCCCTCTCACATTAATATTTCTCTTTCCCTCTCTCTTCCACACTCCCTAAAAACCAATGGAAACATATCCTTAGGTGAGGATAAAAAAGAAAGAAATGTCATATCTTATGAAAGACACATCTTGAAAATGCCTAAAGAAAGCTGTCATGTTTTCATGGTGAAGGGACTGGAGTCTGTGTTGATGAGAACACCTTGGCAGCTATAGCAGCAGGGTGAGGGGGCTGGCGCCTTCCCCTGATCAGCCCAATTGCCTCCCACAGAGGGAGGCCAGACTGCAGCTTAGGCCTGCTCCCACAGTAGGACATCCCCTGAGGGCTCCCAGTCTGTGCAAGGGGGCAGGCTGGGCTGAGGGAACTGCCTCCTCTGTGCACAAATTTTGTGCACCAGGCCACTAGTAAGGTATATCTCCCTTTAAAGTCTAACAAGACCAGACCCTTATATTCTTACCTCCTACTGGTTACTACTGTAACAATGAGAAATTGTAACTCACCCCACCATTCTTCTTGACCCTGCTTCTGTAAATGCTGATTCTGACTAATGTTAGCTTATAGATGAACAGCATCCTATACAATTAAGAGGTAATATGCAAATTGACAATCACGCCCTAGCACAAGATGGCCACCACATGTGGCCAGAGGATGGCTGCCACAAGATGGCTGGTAGGGGAGGGCAGTTGGGGGGACCAGGCCTGCAGGAGAGGGCAGTTGGGGGCAACCAGGCCAGCCAGGGAAGACAGTTGGGGGCAATTGGGCTGGCAGGGGAGCAGTTAGGCGTTGATCAGGCTAGCAGGCAGGCAAGAGTGGTTAGGGGGTGATCAGGCTGGCAGGCAGAAGCAGTTAGGGACAATCAGGCATGCAGGCAGGCAAGCAGTTGGTAGCCAGGAGTCCTGGATTGTGAGTGGGATGTCCGACTGCCAGTTTAGGCCTGATCCCTATGGGCAGTCGGAAATCCCCCAAGGAGTCCCAGATTGGAGAGGGTGCAGGATGGGCTGAGGGACTCCCCGCTAACCCCATGCATTAATTTCATGCACTGGGCCTCTAGTGTTTGCATAAGAATCCTAGAAACTAAATTCAAAAGATGCACACTCTGACCTTCAGTCATCCTAGTTCTGAAAAACTTGCTAATATTTAACCACAGAACCAGGATGATGCAGAACAAGAATGATGAAGACCAGGGTGATACACACCAGACCATCACTTCACCAGTTTTGAGATCCTTATAGGAATGGACTAGCCTGCATATAGAGAATTACTCAACTTCCTCATCATGATTTCTTTGTTCTGCTTCCCCTGTTCCTCCTTATAAAAACCTCTGTCTGCACTGAGACGCTGAGAAGGGCTCTTGACAAAGAGTCCCCTCTCTTCTCAGGTGACTACCACTTGAATAAACCTCTTTCCTTTTCATCAGAATGTGTCTCACAAGTCTGGCTTCTGTGGCAGCAGGCAGTTGAAACCTGGTTTCAGTAACACTACCATTTACCTTATATATCCTTATCAGCATTCCCTTAGTTTTGTAGCTTTGTTTGTGTTATTCCTGTAGTCTAGATCTGTACAATGCAATACAGTAGCCATAAGACACATGTTACTATTTATGTTAATTAAAAGTAAATGAAATGGAAAAATTCAATTCCTCAGTAGCACTAGCCATACTTCAAGTGCTCAAATGGCTGCCATACTGGACAGGGCAGACAGAGGACATTTCCTTCATTACAGGAAGTTCTTTGGACATCCATGGTATAGAGCCAGGCTCAGCAAACTTTTCCTTTATGTTTTGTGGGCCACATGATCTCTAAATAACTACTCAACTCTGCCACTTAACTCAAAAGCAATCATAAAAACATGTAAACTAATGGATGTGTTACAATAAAGTTTTATTTACAACGGTTGGCGAGCCAGATTGGACCTACGGACCATAGTTTGTGAACCCTTGGGCTAGAATTTCTTGTTAAGTCACCACTTATTTCTGAAGCCCTGACCCAAATACCAAATGTCTCCATCCCCTCAATTTAGAGTCAGTCACGCTCTCCTATGCATCACAGCAATTTGCATTTCTATTATTATACCATCACCATCTATTTTGCAATGCTCTTCACCTGTGCCACAAACAGACACATGTATAAGAAACCACTAGGTATTCTTCAAGGGCAAAGATAAAATTATGTTCTTTGTAGTGTCTAAAGCATTCAAGTATATAGCCTTACTGGTTTTTATGAAAAGCAAACTGAATTCCCTATCATTCTGAGATGTTCAATTTAAAATACATTGTTACATTTCCTTCTAAAAAGTGTATTACATCAAAATGTGGCTCAGTGAGAAAACCAGAATTATCTAAACTCTTATTCTATTGAAAAATTACTCAATTTAAATACCTATTTATATTGCCTTTAACATGAATTTCTTACTAAAATAAAACATTTACATACTGACACAATTATACAAATGAAAAATTATTTACATAATAAAATTAGTATAAATACAAAATTTTCTACATGAGTAAAATAATTTCATAGCTAAAACGGCAAAACTATGAATGGTTGATTCAGGAACAGTTGGTAGGACTAGTAGGGAAGAAGTGTAGATTTAATATAAAGTTAAGAATCTTGTTTTCTTAAGATTCAAAGGAAAATAGAGGGAAAGTTTTGTTTGTTTGTTTGTTTTAATATATTTTATTAATTTTTTATGGAGAGGAAGGGAGAGAGATAGAGAGCTAGAAACGTCGATGAGAGAGAAACATTGACCACTGCCTCTTGCACACCCCCTACCGGGGATGCGCCCACAACCAAGGTACATGCCCTTGACCAGAATCGAACCCGGGATCTTTCAGTCCGCAGACCAATGCTCTACCACTGAGCCAAACCGGTTTCGGCTAGAGGGAAAGTTTTGACCCAAGTGTTCTGTTGATTAAGAGGAGCTTACTGCATCATTACAATTACCACTAATTTATGTTATATCCAATATCCCAGTGAAATGAATCCGTTATAATGTAAAATTGAGGGTTTTTTAAATTGACCACACCTCAGCATTACTAAAAATTACAGCTACTGCCAAATTCAAAGTTGGTGATAATGACGCATTTGGGATAACCAATAGAATATTCTCCTGGACTTCCATGCCTATGAGACTAACTTATTAGTTTATTCTATCCTCTTACTAGCACATTCTCCCTATAGCGTTGTCAAAGTGACATCACTGGTAAGTGTTACCAATTATCTTGTAGAAAAATTCAAATACCAACTCCTATACCAAGGTCATTTGCTACATGAACAATATACTACTACTAAATATTAATAATGTGAAAATAAGAATAAACAAAATAATGAGGGTAAAATAAACAATACTTTACTTAATTCCTGAAGCTGTGGGTGAAGTCTGGGGTATCTTTTCATCTTCCCCTGGAGGACTACTAAATTCAGAATGCTGAAACCGCTTTTCAACCTTGGGCCGCTTCAGATTACTACTTCGAGTACGAGTGGAAACTGGTGTCTTATCATGACCTAAGAAAATAGCAGACACGCAAGAACTACGCTAGTTTACATAAATCCCCACCATTACACACTTCCTTTCTCTCACATCAGATTTTGCAATATTCATTCCTCACATTTCCATGTTATCTTGAGCTTTACAAAGTGTTTTTTTTCATTTTCACTTATATTCTCTCCCAATAATCTCTGTCAACCTTATGACATAGTGTAATTTTAATATATTCTCCCTAAATGATACAGGGAAAAATATTGGGTTTAATATTAAAATAAAACATTAGTTGCACTGCGTAAGTGGGAAGATTAGATTTTTCTACTTTTCCTGGTTTTATGAAATCTGACCAAACTAAATGAATCTGAATATGACTGGTGAATTTGGACTGCAATATAATAGAAATGGAGCTTGTTAAATCTTGGGAAATAAGGCAGATGTTACTATTCGTATTTTACAGAAAGAAAATGAGGAAGAGAGGTACCGTAGCTCACTCTGTTCACACAGCAAAATCAGTGGTAGTGGTGGCATTAGAACAGTGGTTGGCAAACTATGGCTTGCAAGCCGCGGTTTGCCTCTCTGTTGACTAATGAGTTTGCTGACCACTGCATTAGAACCCAGAACTAAACTTTAGAGCTGGGTAAGTCTTTACTTGTTTGCTTTTGCAGGCGCGCGCGTGCGCGCACACACACACACACACACACACACACACACACACACTAATTCCAAGTATTTCAAATATGTTCTAATAGATCAGCTGAATTTCTTACCTTCAGAAGTGCTTGCAACAGCATCTTTTAGAGAATCAACCTAAAATAGAGATACAGATTAAAACCAAATGCTTTAGATTATTTTTTCTCCCTGTGGATCTACTTTATTCAGTGTCAAAGAAAATCTTTTAAAACATTTTTCAAATAGCACTTTTTGTACTCACTATTCATCAATTAAAACGTATTTAAGAAATAAAAAGGCTATGTTACAGCCCAGATTATTATGAGGCTAAGAATTTATCAAGCCATCTCATGTCTTGTAAACACTGGAGTTTCCAGTATTCTGTCTTCAGCAACATTCTCTTTTCAATCCATGCATTCCCTTTGCCATTTTATCTACTATCTTCACTTCAACATTTACTAGTATATACAAGTTAATTCCAACTTCCAAAGCTCTATTTCTAATTAAATATCCCCCTAGTGGATGTTCCATCTAATTTCACATCCAACCTGTCTCAAACGGAACAATATCATTTTAATAATCTTTTCCCAATAGTATTCCCTATCTTAGTTCAGTGACAGTAACAATTCTGTCAAACCAGAATGGCTGTGAGACAGTAATGACTTCTTCCTGTCCCTCAATCAACCACAAAGCCAGTCAATTCTGACTTTCAGAATCTCTCAACCGCCCTCTCTTTTGTATTGCCAATGCTTTTTAGTTCAGGCCTTTCTCATCTTCATCATGAACTGTGCCAATAGCCTCCTCACTGGCCTCCCTCACTCCAGCCACATGCCTCATAATCCTCTCCACCTGATGACAGTGATGCTTCCCATCTGCAAGTTGTGCTACTCCTTTACATTTCAAAAAATAAAATAAAATTTAATAGTTTATCACTACCTACAATACAAACACAACATGCCATTTTCTTCCACCTCTGTGTTTTATACATGCTGTCCCTTATAATTCCTAACACAGAGCTCCCACCTACCTTTTAATGGTCATTTCAGCTCAGGTACTACTTCACCGATTCCAGTCCCTGCACAGAATTCGTCATATATACTCTTTTATGTACCTGTAATCACTTGCTGTATGTGAGCTCTATTAAGGCAATTATTATCCTACTAGAGGCCCAGTGCATGAAATTCGTGCACGTTGTCCCTCAGCCCAGCTTGCATCCTCTCCAATCTGGACCCTTCGGGGGATGTCCAACTGTGTGATCGGGCCTAAACCGACAGTCGGAAATCCCTTTTGCAATCCAGGACCACAGGCTCCTAACTGCTCACCTGCCTGCTTGCCTGATCGCTCGTAACCACTCTGCCTATCAGTCTAATCAATCCCAACTGCCCCCACCCCCACCAGCCTACTTGCCCCCGACTACCTCCCCGCCGGCATGCTCACCCCCAACTGCCCCCCCTCCCACTGGCCTGATTGCCCCCATCTGCAACCCCCATCAGCCTGGTCGTCCTCACCTGCTCCCACCTGCAGGCCTGCTGATCCCAATATTACCCCCTGCCGGCCTGCTCACCCCTACCTGTCCCCCCCTGCTAGCCTGCTCGCCCTCAACTTCCCCCCCGCAGACCTGATATCCCCCAACTGCCCCCCCATGGACCTGATATCCCCCAACTGCCCCCGCCAGCAGACCTGATATCCCCCAACTGCCCTCCCCACCTGCCAGCCTGCTTGCCCCCAACTGCCCCCCCCTCGAACCTGATATCCCCCAACTATCCCATCCTACTCGCCTGCTCACCCCCAATTGCTGCACGCCTCCCTTCCACCCCCAGCCTGATTGCCTCTAACTGCCTCTGCCTCGGCCCTGCCATCATGGCTTTGTCTGGAAGGACATTGGGAAGGACTCCCGGTCTAATTAGCATATTACCCTTTTATTAGTACAGGTAGTATAATTGTCCACGTATCTGTTCCAAGAGTGGACCATTTACTTGTCCTAGGCTTAACAGACCCATAATTTGTATGCCAGCACTTGCCAAGGTACCCACTTTACTGCAAGAGGGCTCAGGCCGGGCTGAGGGACAACCCCCCTCCCCCTCCCAGTGCACAAATGTTGTGCACCAGGCCTCTAGTTACATTATAAATGTAAAACTTAATATGTTAAGAAAGTAAATGATGGCATCTATAACAATAATCTTCTATAATAATAAAAAGGTAATATGCTAATTAGACCAGACAGCCGAATGACCTTCCAGACGACCTCTGGGACAAAGCAGGGCTGCAAGGGCCGAGGCAAGACACCGTGGCTGCCAGGGCTGAGCCTCTTGCAAGAATTTCGTGCATCGAGCCTCTAGTTTACATATAATAGGCTAGTGTGCTGCTGCTTAACAATCGTATTTAAAAATAGTAATACCGTGAAAAACGCTTAAAATGTTATGTTATGCACCCTGGTACCCTCCAAAAAAATTGTTATGTTAGTGAGAAAAGCAGTTAGAATTAACATAAAACAAAATAAAATGTATGCAGATACATGTATATTATATGCAAGATATTAACAGTTGCTATCTCTGTTTATTTTCTTCTACATTATTGTATGTGAATTCCAAATTATTTTTCAAAGAAAAATTAAATCCTTAGTAACCAATTAAATGATGCCAGAAAACTAATACAGTAGAAATTACATAAGTCTGTTGAATGAACAAAAACATTTAAAAAATTAAATATTCACTGAATCTATTTTAAAAAAACAAAAAATATTCCCTATAATATATATATACAGTGTACCTACAGTTAGCTGCATCTCACTAGACGGACCGTCTTCAGTTCCTGCTTCATATTCGGGAACAGATACAAGACCATATTCTCCAGATGTGGTTCTTTTAGCTTCATTTGGAGAAACTACTGTGTGCAGAAGAATTTTACAATTGTAACCCAATCCAGTATTTGGTTTTAACAACATTGCTTTGACTTTCACAAGAGCCCTATGGAGCAGCACGAATATAAGAGTGTTGGAAATCTAGGTGTAGGATATCCCCTTCACCTATACCTTTCAATAAAACCTTACAATTATAAAGCGTCTTAAATAATCATCTGTATTTTGTGACTTTAAGAAGAGACACAGGAGACTGTGGACTATCTTTGATCTCCTGATGCCTATTCTATACTGTCTCGGTATCTCTGTGGATTTCTTACACACCAATTATTACAGTCTGCTACACTATTCTTAATAACTCGAATGTTAATATTAATACATAACAAAAAAAATCATACTTTAGGAAAGAGCAATCACATCCCAGCATACCACTGGAGTGTAAGATACCATCACATCAAGCACTGCTATTTTTAAGTGGGAGATGCGTTCAAACTAAAAGCATTCTTACCTGTAAGTCTAAGTGTTTCTCTCTGTAATGCTCTGGTGACAGGTATTCTCTGGTACCATTGTCCAACACCTTCAACTTCCCAAAGGAGTTCATGGTCTCCTGGATACTTTTCACAGTATTGTTTGCAAGCTGAAAAACACATTTAGAATTTTCTAGAAATCCCAAATATCAATTATTTTAGAAAACAGAAAGATAGGAAGCTGCCAATTCACGTAATGGGCTAGCACAACTTTTTTATAGCAAAACAACAAGCCAACTCTAAAAAATTATACAGTCGTCTCATTTACATAAAAATTCTAAATGAAATTCCATATTAAAATTTTAATGTGCCCAAACTGGTTTGGCTCAGTGGTAGAGTGTCGGTCTGTGGACTGAAAGGTCCCGGGTTCGATTCCGGTCAAGGTCATGTACCCTGGTTGCGGGCACCCCGGTAGGGGGTGTGCAAGAGGCGGCTGGTCAATGTTTCTCTCTCATAGACATTTCAAGCTCTTTATCTCTCTCCCTTCCTCTCTGTAAAAAATCAATAAAATATATATTTTTTAAAATGACTTTCATATAATGTCACATTAAAAAAAAAGTTTTAATGTGATCAAGCAATAAAAATTTAAATACAAGTTGTGTTTTATCTTTAAAAAGAAAATTATTAAATTTTATTACAGGACATAAAAGAAAAATTAAATAAAAGGATTGTTAAATTTAATAGTATAAAAACACCAATTATCTCCATATTATTTTGTAAACTTGATGCAATCCTAAACAAAATACCAACAGAGTTTCTTTTTAATGGAACTTTACAAAATTTGGTCCCAAATTCAAAATGAAAGAACAAAGAGTAAGTATTAAGGGATTTTTCCTATAGCACTCCTCCCCAAATTTAGTAGAGCAATCATCTATGTCAAATTATCAAAGGGTATACAAGGGCTCATTCCGTTCACATGTATGGGTCTAGAGAAAAACTATAATTCAAAATGGGGATACAACATTTCTAGATTTTTAATATTAAAGAGAGAGAGTAAGCCTAGAAAATATATTTTTAGAGAAAATAAGCATCTAACGGTAAATTATATTTTAAAAGTTTTCAAATTACTTTCCAGGATTAAATCTTACTACATTATGAAAAAATAGTTATTTGGGCTTTATACAAATGCAAATATAAATCCACTAATAAGTATTTACCTTACTTTTTATGCTTTCTTATATGTCTGAGCTTTTTTCCTTCCTCCCTCCCTCCCTCCCTTCCTCCCTCCCTCCCTCCCTCCCTTCCTTCCTTCTTTTTTTAATTTAAAAGCTACCACAAGTGGTCAAATAATATAGACATTTCTCCAAAAAAGACATACAAAGGTCCAATAAGACATGAAAAAATGTTCAACATCAAATGCAAACCAAAACTACTAGAAGTCATTTCACACCTACTCAGATGACTACTATAAAAAAGGCAGATGAGCCCTAGCTGATTAGGCTCAGTGGAAAGAGCATTGGCCTGAGGATTAAAGGGTCCCGGTTTCAATTCCGGTCAAGGGCACATGCCTGGGTTGTGGCCTCAATCCCCAGTAGAGGGGGGGTGCAGGAGGCAACCAGTCAATTGATGATGGATAAACAAAATGTGGTATATCATACAGTGAAACATTATTTAGGTAACAAAAGGAATTAAGCGCCGAAACCAGTTTGGCTCAATGGATAGAGCGTCAGCTTGGGGACTGAAAGGTCCCAGGTTTGATTCCGGTCAAGGGCATGTACCTTGGTTGCAGGCATATCCCCAGTAGGCGGTGTGCAAGAGGCAGCTGATCGATGACTCACTCTCATCGATGTTTCTAACTCTCTATCTCTCTCCCTTCCTCTCTGTACAAAATCAATAATATATATATATATATATATATATATATATATATATATATATATATATATATATATAAAACTTTAAAAAAAAATTAAGCACTGATTCATACTACAGCATAGATGAATCTTGAAAACATTTGTGCAAAATAAAAGAAGCCAGACACAAAGGACTTATATATTCACTAGAGGCTCAATGGGCCTTCCTTCCCCGGCTGCCAGCAGGCACCCCACACCTGGGCTTCCCTCGCAGTCCCAGCTTCGTTTAGAAGGATGTCCGGAAGGACATCTGGTCTAATTAGCATATTAAGCTTTTATTATTATAGAAGATATCACATGATTCCATTTATATGAAATGTCTAGAATAGGTAAATCCAAAAAGACAGAAAATAGATTAGTGGTTACTAGGTAATGGAGAAATGGGGGGATGGATGGTGACTGGGTTTGATTACTGGTCAAGAGCACATGCCTAGGTTGGAGGTTCAATCCCCAGCCTCCATTGGGGTGCATGCAGGAATCCATGTGTCTCTCTCACATCAGTGTTTCTCCTACTCTTACTCTCCCTCTCTTTCTCTCTCTCTCTCCTCTCCCTTTCCACCCTCCCTTCTTCCACTCTCTCTAAAAATCAATGTAAAAAATATCCTCGGGTGAGGATTAACATTTTAAAAAGATGAATTTTATGGTATATAAATTAAAGCTCTATCTGACCATGTGGCTTAGTGGTTGAGTGTTGACATATGAACCAGGAAGTCATGGTTCCATTCCCGGTGAGGGCACATGCCCAGGTTGTGGGCTTGATCCTCAGTAGGGGGTGTGCAGGAGGCAGCTGATCAATGATTCTCTCTCATCGTTGATGTTTCTATCTCTCTCTCCCTCTCCCTTCCTTTTAGAAACCAATACAAAAAAAGTACTTAAAATAAAAACAAAAGTTTTTAAAATTAAAGCTCATATCTTTAAAAAAAAAAAACACAAAAAAAACCAAACTGCCATTACCCCCCCATCCTCACCAAAAACACACACAAAAAACAACACCACAGATAATGTGAGATAAGGACACTTTGCAGAATTAAGCCCTAAGCCAGTGGTCGGCAAAGCCAACAGAGCCAAATACCAACAGGACAACAATTGAAATTTCTTTTGAGAGCCAATTTTAAACTTAAACTTCTTCTAACGCCTCTTCTTCAAAACAGACTCGCCCAAATGGTGGTATTTTGTGGAAGAGCCACACTCAAAGGGCCAAAGAGCCGCATGTGGCTTGAGAGCCACAGTTTGCCTACCACAGCACTAGGGTATCAAAGAATCAAATTTTATTTAATATTGTTATATGCACATTTATAATATTCTGCAGAAACTAGTCAGAGACAAGTTTAACATTTTTCACGTATTCCATTTACCTTCGTACATTATAGAGGTCAGTGGGTACCGTAAGCCAAGTAGATCTTCTGTAAAGGAATCAACAAAGTCCTCCAGCATATGAAGCTCAAAATCTCTGCCTCGATATTTTTTTCTTATAAACATTGTATCAAGAACTGGCAGTTGGTAGCTTTGGGTAAGAAGTGAGGCACATATGCTTCCTGCAATCATAAGAACAGAAAGCCAACAATTTTTTACATTGAAAGATCTTTTATGTATATACTTTTAGAAAACATGAGGTAACTGTCTGGGTTTTTCAGTGGATAAAAAAGGAGTGCTATCCCAAAAAGTTTCCTCTATCCCTTTTATGGCCAATCCCTCCCTCCTGGGTCTCTGTTTGATTTCTGCCCCTACAAATTTGCTTTTACTTTTCTAGAATAACATAAATGGAATCACATAGTATGTTTTCTTAGTGCCTGGTTTCTTTTTCCCAACAAAATGATTCTGAAATCTAGTACATGCTATGTCTATCAGTACTTAATGGTATGCATGATATGGGTTAACTGAAATACATTTATCTATTTACAATTTTTAAAATTTATTTTTGTTGTTGAGGTTATTACAGATGTCCCACATTTTCTCTCCTTTTGCCTACCTTGGCCTGGCTCCTGCCATTTTTCTTATTTACAATTTGGGAGTTATAAATAAAGCTGTTTAAATAATCTCTTTTAAAACATTTTAAAAGGGGGTGCTATAATAAAACTAACAAAAAGTAACCTCACAGGGTGATCTGATCAAACATTCCAAGCTGGGCAGGTCATGGTGGGTAGTCACACCCCAGGCAAATAAGTTCTTTAGTGAGAGGTCTATCTTTGCCTTAACCAAGCTCTGTCCATCATTTTTGCGCATCTATATTAACATACCTTTGAAATGCTCATTTTCAGAACCCTTAGAAGCCTCGCTACCCTCAAAAGAACATGTAATCTTAACTAGCCTGAATCCCAATCCCCAACTTGCTTTTCATGTCATCTTCCTTACATTCCCTCCTTAATTCCAAATGCATGAAAGAAGCTGAAAACTATCATTCCGGGAAGCATTATTCTCTGTTGAGATCTTGCTTCCCAGCTCTGTCATCAGTTTGTAAAATAATGCAATAATTAGTAAATTATAATACAAGAATAAACTGTTTCATGTACTCACAACTAAACCTAGTTTGGCTCCACCTGTACATATTCATTTAAAAAAATCATGCTGATTATCTTCTTTGCCTACATCTTAAATAGTTATACTTTGTATAAGGGTTATACAATGGCAATCAAATAAAGGGCAGAAAAACGTCATGTTACCAGAGATCTTCAGACACGTCAACAGCTGTAGACAATAGCACAATTACCTAGTGGAGGAAAACCACAACTGCTACCTTAAGTGAAGTCTTCATTATATAAAATGTATTGCACATGGCAATTAAATATTTATATTCCTCAAAGTTTCCTCTTTGACCACCTTCTCTTTCTAAATTCTCACTCTGGGTAATTTCACCTACTCTCAGAGCTTCTACCATTTATCCAAATACTGACATCTACCAATCTTTAATTTCTGTAATTCCTGAGATTTACTCCAATGGAATACCTCATATAAATGTAAGTACTACAAAAACCACATGATCATCTCAATAAGTGGAGAAAAGAGTATTTGATAAAATCTAACGCCTTTCATGATGAAAATACTCAACATCCTCCACCTGATAAAGAGATCTATGAAAAACCCACAGCTAACAACACACTTAATGGTAAAAGACTGGATGTTTCCCCTATAAGATTAGGAACAAGACAGAAATGTTCACTCTCACCACTTCTATTCAACATTGTACTAGAGGTTGGGTAATTAGTCAAGAAAATAAAATATAAGGCACCAGGTTGGAAAAAAAAAAAAGTAAAATCATTTTTGCAAATGACACAACCTTATATCTAGAAAACCTTAAGGAACCATTAAAAATTTATTAAAACTGACATATAAGTTTAGTAAGGTTGCAGGATCAACATACAAAAATCAACTGTATTTCTATACACCAACAATGAACAATCTGAAAATGAAATTAACAATTCCTGCCCTCTGGTATAGTTTAGTGGTTGAGTATTTACCCATGATCAGGAAGTAACGGTTTGATTCCAGGTCAGGGCACATGCCAGGGTTTAGGGCTTGATCTCCAATAGGGAGTAGCCAATCAATGATGTTCTCTCATCATTGATGTTTTTATTCCTCTCTTCCCTCTCTCTGACATCAATAAAAACATATTTTTTTAAAAAATGATAAAATTCTTACAAGTAAATTCAACAAAAGTGCAAAACTTGCAAACTGAGAAGTATAAACCTTGTTAAAAGAATGAGCACCTAAATAAATGCCAAAACATCTCATGTTCATTAATCAGAATACATAATATTGTTAAGATGTCAATACTCCCCAAATTGGCCTACAGACTCAAAATCCCAGCTGGACTATTTTCCTGGAACTGAGAAGGTAATCCTAAAATTGATATGGAAATGCAAAGGACTTCCCCAGGAACTTTCTATCTGCAGCTTCCCGGTCACCTAGGTCAGTGGTCCGCAAACACATTAGTCAACAGAGCAGCAAACCGTGGCTCAGGAGCCGCAGTTTGCCAACCACTGCACTAAGTCCTCAGAATCCTTTGCATTCAGCAAATTAGGAAAAAGAATGCATCTCTGACCTGATGTCATACATATAATTTCTTTAATTACTTTGGGGAGAATTAATCACACAGCCCCACCCAACTGTGCAAGTGACTAGAAAATATAATCTCTGACTGGGCAGCTGTGGACCAATGACTAGAATATAGAAGAGGAAGCACAAATATTTGATTAGCTAGCAGCCTCAGCTAACTTTCCTCTTCTTTTTATCTCCCATCAGACTTAATATATGTGCTGCAGAAGTGAACACACTTCCTTTTAACTTTTAGGAAATCAATGATACATTTGAGCAGGTAGTCCCTTTGCTGGCAGACTTCCTCCACACAGTTATGTTTGTTTGGTTACCTCAGGCTGACATCAGTAACTTACTTACATCCCATGCCAGTATTCACAAACACTCATACTCACTTTATACAGTTTCGACAGATCTTTATTTTAAAAATGTGTTGACTTCTGTGGCCCACATAAACATCCACACCTTCCCCAGGTGATCCGACTTACATTTCTAACTGTGTACTATCCCTACTTACATGTTCTACGGGCACAATGAACTTCACATGTCAAACTAAACTCAAGTATTACCAAGTCCACTCCTTCTGTATTCCCAATCTCAGTTCATAGTTTCCCACCTAAGCATCCACGCCAAAACCCTCAAGATTCCTCACTGGTTACTCTTCTATCCCTTCCTACACAGGCAACGGAGTCACCACACAAAAATCTCCCTCAAATCTGCTTCCTTCTCTTTCACTACTGCCACTTTTCAAACAGGAGTACTTCTTTCAGCTGGAGTACTGAAACAGCTATTTTAATGGACTTCAGAATACATATATGTCAAATATCACACAATAAACTAGTGTATAAAACTATTTAAAAAAATACATTTCACTGACTTCTTTACAGAGAGGAAGGGAGAAGGGTAGAGAGCCAGAAACATCGGTGAAAGAGAAACATCACCGGCTGCCTTCTGCGCACTCTCCACTGGGGATGCGCCCGCAACCAAGGCACGTGCCCTTGACCAGAATCGAACCCGGGGCTCTTGAGTTCACAGGCTGATGCTCTCTCCAGTGAGCCCATCCAGCCAGAGCTAAAACTATTTTTTAATAATCTGTCATCTATCTAATCCAAAAAAATAAATAATAAGTTCCTCACCGTGATCTCTTACTTCAAGCAAAAAAGAATTTTATATAATTTCTTAAGTTTCGCTGAACTGTAATAAGACTTAACCTCATAAACAAAGACTCCTTTTATATACCAAGGCTATTTTTATATCCCAACTATTATCCCCATATACTGATTTGCTATTTAATTAAAAAATCATAAGTAATCGCATAAGGCTTTCACTCAACTAGAACTTTATTTAATAAAGATTTTATCATTTTGCTGGTACAATTCTTTTTCCTGATATGTATGTAGAAAATATTTTTATCACAAAGTGTTTTAGTATATGTTACGGGCAGTTTTTCCAAAATATTTTATGTTTGGGTTTCCTTTGTATAAAAAAAAAATAGTTCCAGACTAAATTAACTGGTTACTGATTCAAAGGCTAGTACAGTATAAGCACAACTAATTCCATTATTATCTGGGAGAGTAGAGCCAGAGCATAAAGCAAGAAAGAACAAAAATTAACAGGGTATAAGGCAATTAGCAGAGAAGCACCAGAGGATCATGGGTTCAATTCCCAGTCAAGGGCACATACCTGGGTTGCGGATTCTACCTCCTCAGTCTCTCTCTCTCTGTCTCCCTCCTCCCTTCCACACTCTCTAAAATTCAATGGAGCCTGGCCAGAGTGGCTCAGTGGTTGAGCATCAATCTATGAACCAAGAGGTCATGGTTTAATTTCCAGTCAGGGCACATATCTGAATTGTGGGCTTGATCCCCACTGTGGGACGTGCAGGAAGCAGCTAATCAATTGTTCTCTCTCATCATTGATGTTTCTATCTCTCCTCCCTTCCTCTCTGAAATCAATAAAAAATAATATTAAATTAAAATAATGGAAAAATAATCTTTGGATGAGGAATAACCAAAAAATAAAACTCAAAAACTTAACTACCAGCAAAAATAAAGGCCAGATCTGACAGGAGAGGAACCACAAATGCACATAAAATGAAGAGAAACACACTTCTGGAACCAAACACTGATCAGAAATACTAAAAGGAGAATGCTATTCCCATTAACTGTGTCTTTCATCTAAAGCAAGCTCTCAAAAAAAAGAATAAACTAATACATTATCTATGAGCTGATTTCAGATAGGAAAATCCCCTGGAGCCAGCGTGAAAAGCAAAAAGCCTCCAATTCCCATAGGAATTATATAAAATAAAGCATAAAGAAATTAAACCACACCTCAGCCATTTTAGAACATTATAAAAACAACACAGTGCCTTTTATGCAGTGCAGCTATATAATGATATATAATGATACATCTGCCCCTCTATAACGATATATCTGCCCCTCTATAACGACATATCTGCCCCTCTATAACGATATATCTGCCCCTCTATAACGATATATCTGCCCCTCTATAACGATATATCTGCCCCTCTATAACGACATATCTGCCCCTCTATAACAATATCTTTCTGGAGTTAAATGAATCATTGATTCTATTTCAAATTTGTACAAGAACAAAATAGAATATTAAAGGAGAACCAAAGTATTTACTAACCAACAAAACAATTTTAAACTCTAGAGATCATAGTATTTTATTCTTAAGAAAAAGTGACCTTCCTTTTATTGATGCTATACATAATCTCATGATAAATATGTATTAACTATGTGATTAAGATAATGGTCACAACTGTTCTTCAAGTCAGCAGTGAATTTGATAGAATCATTACACTGGACCTGACCAGATGAGCTAAGTCTGGAAGGTTTGAAATGCAAAAATGACAGGAAAATAATATGAGTGTTCTCAGTGAAAGGTCTTTTGGTCAAAGTACAGAACAAGACCAACTTTGTTATTTGGTTTTTTATTTACATGGTGTAAGCAGGTTAGAGCTTTCTAGCTCCAGTACAACTAGAGAGCAAATGAACAGGAAAACAGGTACAACAAGATGAAGTTGCTCTAGTCGCTTAGGCAGAGGGTATATTTGGGTCTTAGGATCAGAAATTCGAACTTTAGAAGATTTCACAATTTCAAAGCTGTCTGGATTTTCTAAATACTGTATACTGAAGTACTTTGTTTTTTGTGGTAATTAAAAAAGCTGTTTTTAATATGTCAGGCTAACTCAGCAGCACTGAGCAGAAAAGGGCTATGCATTTGATCCACAGGTAACAAAGAGTTAAATATTCCCCTAAAAATACTAAAATAACCTCAATTTGCACTCGAGATTCATTTAAAGGGAATATTGATACAGTTGGGGCTAAAAAGTAGGTTTTCATTAAACACAGTTTAAATAACTTTTAAAGACTCACCTGTAGGCTTAACTGAATAAAACCCAACGGCCTCTCCTTTCTTCCACAGAATCTTAGCATAATCAGTACTGCTATGACACAGGAATGGGATCTCATTTCTCTCCATTTCCTGTTTTCTATAAATAATTCGATTCAGAACATACAGAACCACTCTCTCCCCAAGAGTTCTCACCTACAAAGAGAGTCAAACACCAGGCACAGCAGTTATAATATGCATCAATTACCTTGCTCCCTGTTTCCTACCGGCATTCGAAACACTTTGAATGCATTCAAAATGATCTGTAAAACATTTTATTATCACAAAGGCAAGGCTAATCATTCTTACCAATAACAATCCGTTTCTACACACACATATTATGCATGAATACTGCCTCTCAGCAAAATTCTGAAACTGGCGAAACGCGTTTCCAGTGCAGCAGCCCCCAGCATCTCCTATTTAGCAGTTTCCTTTCTGCTTCCCGCTGCCCATACCAGGGGTCTCGGCCACCCTGCTGCCTCCACCACTTCTACTGCTTCAACCGTTTTCACCCATTTCAGCTTCCACATTAAAATAATAATAATAAGCCGAAACCAGTTTGGCTCAGTGGATAGAGCGTCTACTTGCGGACTGAGGAGTCCCAGGTTTGATTCCGGTCAAGGACATGTACCTCAGTTGCGGGCACATCCCCAGTGGGAGGTGTGCAAGAGGCAGCTGATCGATGTTTCTCTCTCATTGATGTTTTTAACTCTCTATCCCTCTCTCTTCCTCTCTGTAAAAATCAATAAAATGTATTTTAATAATAATAATAATAATAATGAGAAGTAGGGGGAGGCTTCATGTTAGCTCCTGAAGATTTTAAGACCAATTACCTCATTTGATGAGCAAAGACATAATAATGCTCTTGGGGAAAGGAATTTGTCTCACCCTTTCCAGGTAAAATGTTAATTTAACAGTTGTTTTTGTTGTCTAACTATGAGGAACACCCCCTGCCCTTTTGGCCATACACACACATATATCGACCAGATGAGGGATGACAGTGGCACCAGGAAGGTCTAGTGAAAACATACATGGGGTAACCATAGAATGGAAACTGAGCCTCATTTCTTACAGGCAGGGCTACATGGTCACCAGGATCCCCCTTACCAACTTCCAGGCATAAGACAGTGGGGTTTTCCCAACAGACATCTTTCATTGCTAAAAACAAGAATTCTATGCACAAAGACTCCTTAAAGAAAAACAAGAGTGCCTTCTAATTAGATAAGTGGAGAGAGAAAACATTGCCATACAATCTACTCACAAAAACATCCCTAGTGGGAGATTTCCAATACCAAACACACAAAATGACAGAGCTTGTTAGCTTGCCAAGTATGGAACCTTTTTTCTGTCATGGGCCATTTGGATATTTACAACATCATTTGAGGACCATACAAAATTACCAACTTAAAAATTAGCCAGCTAGCCGAAACCAGTTTGGCTCAGTGGATAGAGCATTGGTCTGCGGACTGAAAGGTCCCAGGTTGGTTCGATTGGTTGCGAGCACATCCCCGATGGGGGTTGTGCAAGAGGCAGCTAGTCAATGTTTCTCTCTCATCGATGTTTCTAGCTCTGTTTCCTCTCCCTTCCTCTCTGTAAAAAATCAATAAAATATATATATTTTTTAAATTAGGCTGCTATATTTGGTCAAACATTTAATCACTTCTAATGCGTTGGCAGAGCCAGACCAGATGATTTCACGTGCCTTTAAAGCAATCTTTAATTGCCTGGAACAGCTTTGATCAGCATAAAATTATTCCTTATACTGAGCTAAAATGTATTTCCCAAAGATATTCTGGATCCACAGAGCCTACAAATATCTGAAAGCATCCGTAAGATCCCCCTACATTCCATACCAATTCTAAACAATTGAAGGAAAAGTAATGCAACTTTGGGTGCTTTTGCCATTCCTGTCCTCTTCCTTGAAATTGCTCCAGATCACCTAATATCTTCACGATGGGCATGCAGATATTACAGGTATAAACATTAAAGATTTTGCTAAGAGAGTGGGGCTTTTCTGCATAAACTTGAGGTTTTTAAATTGGCTTTTTTGCCTACCTTCCTTTGCTTCTGTGAACACCCACCCTTTCTCCCGTGTGCTGCTCTCCCGGTTTAGTCCTCATGGTACACACGGTGCAGTTCATTTTCTGAACCTACGGGTACTACTCCACATTTATCCCTGTTTACTTTCATCAGGTAAGATCTTCCCTTTTTTTCTTAATTCTGCCTTTCAGATTGGTTCTCCCACTCAGCACTGTGGCATGCAGAATGGACATGCACGCCATCTGTATCTTCCTCTAAGTATTTTATGAAACTTAGTAATTAGGATGGAAAAAAACAAGTTTTGCAGTATTCTGCTGAGAACTTCCCCAAACGGCTGTATCGATAAGCACGTTTCCTTCCTGGTCAGTGTCTCCTAGAGACAGAAAACCTAAGCAATCACACACGGAGAAGAACTGGCTTTTTCTCTACCGAACAAGGAAATCAGAAGCTGAAGCTGAAGTCACTACAGTTCAACTAACCCATAGGCATTCAATCTTCCTCCCCCAATACTCACATACCTTTAGCACAATGAAACTCTAAGGGCTTAATAAAACCTGGCTACAATAAAATGGAGAAGAGCTCAATAACTTCAAAAACTATCACTGTTTTTAGGAATCATCACTGTGAAATGGCCTAAGTAAGAAACTTGTAAAATTACCTGCTTAAGCCCCTCTCGAGAAGGGACAGATGTTTTCACGATATCATCAATAGCCCACCACTGATCAGCCAGGTAAAGTGCCACAGCTAAAACAGAATAAATGGTCAACATTTAAGTCTTAAGTCTTAAAGTGTATAACATTACTATTTGGTAAGGTTATATAGATACCTTTAAGTACACTCATATGTACTTTTAAAATACAATGTGGCCCCATTTATAATATTTTTATTTCACTCATTAAACATTTAATAGTAAGCAATTAAGAATTTTATTTTCCTAAATTTAAGTTTGAAACACATTTGTTTGTTTGTTTTTATTCCTTCATGTAACTACCTTTTAATAAATTTCTAATTGTTTGGAGAAAACTCCTCAATTTTAAAGATTAAGCAAAAAAGAGACCTGTGAGTGAGTCCTCAGGTGAAAAAAGAGCAAGAATTTTCTGGGTCGGATCTCCACCATAAAGAGGTACAAAGCCTACATTTGACAGGCTAATAGGAATCTGAAATGACAATTGATTAAACATTAGTGAAGAGTCTGTGAAGAAAACACAGGACAAAAACACCATAATTCTATCAAAATATTAACTTTTCCTACATTAATGCTAATTATATACCTTCATTTCATAGACAATATTTCTAGTTGTCTCAAAAAAAAGTAGCTCCTAGCGGGTTTGGCTCAGTGGATAGAGCTTCAGCCTGCGACTGAAGGGTCCCAGGTTTGAATCTGGTCAGGGGCACATGACTAGGTTGTGGGCGAGCAGGAGGCAGCCGATCAATGATTCTCTCTCATCACTGATGTCTCTCTCTCTCTTTCTTCTCCCTTCTTCCCTGAAATAAAAATACATTTTAAATAATAAAAAAGTAAATCAGAATTCCATTTTGTAGGAAGTTTATTACCTTGCGGGGTGAGGGTGAGGGTGGGGGGATAGAAGTTTATTTCAATAAATATTTCTGTGTTCTAGCCAAAAGTCTAAATAAAAACAAAAGAATTGTAAAGTCACTAAAAAACAGTTGTTTACATCTGTTATTTAGACTATTGGAGGGGATGGGATACTATTTTCTAGTAAAATACACCAGATAGGTAATTTTACAGAGAAACATACAATACTTTAAATTTTTTCTGCCTTCATTAATAGTGTGCTAATTCCTCACTTACAGAAAATATTACAATTCAGAGAATTATAAAATATTGTACTAGAGGAGACTTAAAGAATCCTTTAAATCAACATAATTTTCCAGAAGAAAAATCTCAGGCCTAGATATTAGAGAATTTGCCTGCCATCAGTTCACAGTGGAATTCTAACAACAGGTCGCAGCTTACTAATTTCTAAGTTTTATGTTAGCATTTTAGAAAAGGGGAGGTTTGTTACACAAAAATGTGTAATTTAGTGGTTTGCTGATATTTTTATTTTAAAAAATTCTTATATCACAAACTCTAAATCTAAAGAAAATTTGAGTTAGCTCAAATATGGAAGCCAGTCTTAGCAAAACTGGTAAACTACTTAATTTTAAAGACACAATACAAATATTAAGCAATAACCTAGAGTTTCTTTTTAAAACCTGATCATGTTACTGTACTAACCAATTAATATTTATGCATTTTACTGATGTCTTCTCATACAAATTTCAGAAGTTTAGTTAGCACTTTAAAATTATAAAAAATAAAGGGATATTAATTCCGTGTATGAACTCAACTGAAGACTCATAAAAATCGCTGCAGAACACCTTACCGTTAAATCGAGAAGAGAAAAAGACTCAGGACTGTCAGGGTCCCCACACCTTAGATCTGACATATAATCTTCAGCAGAATTTTCCAATTCCTCGTGACTGCAACTATCCAGCAAGTCCACAGGGAATGCCATTCTCTTTAAAAAACAGCATGGGACAAAAATGTTTCAGAATATGAAATGCTAGCTTCCTTTTCACATAGAAAAACTTCATATTACAATATCTATACAAATAAAAGGGTAATATGCAAATTGGTCAGGACGCCCTCACAGGAAAGACCGAGCAGCAGGCTGCGTGGGGCAACCAGTCCAGCAGGGGGGCTGTTGGGGGCGGCCAGGCCGGAAGGGGAGGGCAATTGGAGGCATTCGGGCCAGCAGAGGAGGGCAGTTGGGGGCAATCAGGCCAGCAGGGAAGCAGGTAGGCATCAATCAGTCTGGCAGGGGAGTGGTTAGGGAGTGATCAGGCTGGCAGGCAGGCGAGCAATTGGGAGCCAGCAGTCCCGGATTGTGAGATGGATGTCTCACCGCCGGTTTAGGCCCGATCCCAAGGGGTCCCAGATTGAAGAGGGTGCAGGCTGGTCTGAGGGACACCCCTCCTCAGTGCACAAATTTTGTGAACTGGGCCTCTAGTTTTATTATAAAGAGTTCTTCACTATACCATGTCAGACTACCACTTGGCCTGTTGATTTAACCATGTACGTCAAAAGAAAATATTTAAACATTATTCATTTGAATTAAAAATAAAATAGGAATTAATGGTAATTCTTTAAATGATATAAATATAATTATACAGGTGTAGGATATACTTATTTGCACATAAGTAAGTACACACACATAAATATATCCTCATATACTTGCCAACATTATAAGTCACTATAAAAGAACAAAAGGGAACTTTTTGGAATCAAAATGTTCTATAACTGCATTGTAGTGATGGTTGCTCCACTATATAAATTCACTAAAAAAAATAAAAATAAAAAAGATCATTGAATTGTACAATTGCAATGGGTAAATGTTGCAATATGTAAATTATTCCTCTCATACATAAACCTGTTTAAAAGCCAGCACTTTAGAGGGAATACACTAAACACTTTCCCACTAAAGTCAGGAAAAATGACTCGACACACTGTATAACATTAAATAGGTACCTGCCAATGCAATTAGCCTAGAAGTATAACAACTGGGTATGGGTGTATGTGGAAGGAACTATCTCTACCTCAATTACATAATATATTTCATTGGAAAGCCCAAAAGAATCAATGGAAAAACTACTCCAAACAATAAAAAAATATACTAAAAGAGGATATAGTTACACACAGAAATTAAGTCCTCATATATACAATAATAACCAGTGAAAAGAAAACAGGAATGTAAAAAATAAAGTAAAAATAGGTAAGAAGACCCCATTTACAGTGGATAGAGCATCAGCCGACCAAAGGGTCCAAGGTTCAATGGTCAAGGGCAAGTACCGTATTTTTCGGACCATAAGACGCACTTTTTCCCCCCCAGAAGTGGGGGGGGAAAAGTCCCTGCGTCTTATGGTCCAAATATAGCCTACACATATACTTTAAAAAAAAAGTTTTTTTACTTGCCCAGCTCTGTGTGGTCTCTGTGTGCTTGCCCGGCTCTAAAATGGTTCTAAATGCTGCTGTTTACTTTACAGGGTTGATTACATGTGTTTATGACTGTGATGTTGGGTTTTAATGCACATAAAATATTTTAGGACACTATTTGTTTCAGAATCTTTTTTTCTTCATTTCCCTTCTCTAAAAACTGGTGCGTCTTATGGTCCGGAGCGTCTTATGGTCCGAAAAATACGGTACCTCCTCTGCAGGCTCCTGCCCGGCCAACCGTGGTCAGGGTTCATACAGGAGGCAACCAATCAATGTTTCTCTCACATCAATGTTTCCCTGTCTTTCCCTCCATCTGCCAGTCTCTAAAAGTCAATGGAAAAATGTCCTTGGGTGAGGATTAAAAAAAAAAAAGTAAGCAGACATATGCATCTTGATGTGATGCAAAAAGAGAAATCAAACCCAAATCTACCGTAATGAAGCCATCAAACACGTGAAATGACATCAAGTCACTTCAGCCAGTCAAATTTAGAATAATCCAGTTTTTTCAATAAGTATACAGTATGGAGTTGAAAGAGTAGGAACTATTGTAAATTAAAAGACATTTAAGACCCTACCTGTTTGGCTCAATGGATAGAGCATTGGCCTGTGGACTGAAAGGTCCCAGGTTCGATTCCGGTCAAGGGCATGTACCTTGGTTTCGGGCACATCCCCAGTGGGAGGTGTGTAGGAGGCAGCTCAACGATTCTCTCTCATCAATGTTTCTGACTCTCTATCCCTCTCCCTTCCTCTCTGTAAAAAATCAATAAAATACATATATTTTTAAAAAAGACATTTAAGAGGCATAGCAATCAGATGCATTGTAAAAAGGATTCTAATATGTGTTCTCTTGAAAACTCCCATGATAAAAAGTTAAATAAAAAATAAATATATGCTCTAAATCAAAGTTGATCTACTTAGTTCTTAAAGATATAAACTAAAGTAGATGATCTTGTTATAAAAATTCCCTATTTCATATTTACCCAAAATAAAAACTGCAGAGCCCAACTGCTATATTTATCAATAATCTCTTCGATCTTGATTTAAGAAATAATAAAGGGGAAAGACAGAAGAAAACAGAAAATAAAAATTATTTTTATCTGAAGTAATTCTTCAGAGAAGCATTTTATCACATCAAATCTATTTTATCACAAATATATTAGTAAATTTAAAAAAAACTGAAAATATGAGAAAACATGTAAAAGACAGGACATATAATGACAGCTACATATAGTTTTATATATATATATATATATTTTTATTTTTTTTTATTTTTATTTTTTAAATCCTCACACAAGGATATGTTTTTACTGATTTTTAGAGAGCAAGGAAGGGATTTGGGAGTGGGGGAGAGAAACATTGATGTGTGAGATAAACATTGATCAATTGCTTCCTGTACATGACCAGACCAAGGATGGAATCCACAACTTTTTGGTATGCAGGACAATGCTCCAAACAACCGAACTACCTGGCTAGGGTTAAATATGTTTTTCTGAGTTTTTAAGATATGATGATAATGAGAAACTTATTTTTACCATAATCTGAAATCCTAAGGACTTTAAAATGTGGTGTATCATTGGGAACCTAATTTTATACAAATATATTTTCAATCAAATTGACTTTAAAATTTTTAAAAATAAAAACCTGGAAATAAGAACACACAAAAACAGCCCACCTATTAGTAAATATAAATGTCTAAATAAAAGGAGAAAGCAAGAAAAATTTGTGAGACATTTAGAAATACCACAGGATTTCCAGGCAACTCATAAAAAGAAAAAAAAAACTATGAATTTCAAGAGAGATTAACCAGGAGCTTATGTAAATCAGATGTTATAGTTAGCAAAGTATCAAAATGAAACAGCGAGCTCTATTACGAAGTAAGCTTATTTGTCAATTCAAAAGCAAACTAAGGAAATAGAAATTATATTATGTTCTAGTCAGATCCAATAATTCTAATGAAGATTAAAATTTTAGATGAAAACAAAAACAAATGGTCAACAGCAGATGAAAAAAGCATAATTAGGACACTAGTTAACTATTTTCCTCTCTTTTAGACAAGATCCCAGCTTTGGTCTAAGTAAAATATTAAGAGCATTAAATATACCCTACTATTGACCAGATGAAACTCAGGAAGGATTAATGTCACCGTCTTCTCCTGAAACCATCTCGAAATGCTCTCTTGAACATGAGGTATGAATGAAACACATTTAAACATTTCATTTGCTAAGAGTAATCATGACCTAAAGCAAAAGTGGGGAGCCTTTATTTTGCCAAGGGCCATTCCTGGACCATACAAAATTATCAGCTTAAAAATTAGCCTGCTACCTTTGGTCAAACATTTAATTAACTCACCCCTCATGCCTTGGCAGAGCCAGACCAAATGATTTTAAGGGCCATATACCGATGACATGAAGGATGAAATACAAATTAACATATGAGGACTGCTGCCAAAAATTTGGTGTACAAAAGCACTGTTGATTACAATCACATAAAGGTAATACGGCATTCTAAACAAAGAATACAAAATGGACATATAAAGAAAAGGAGTCTGATAGAATAGCAAACTGATGGGTCGTTTTCTTTCCCAACTACTGTTACTACAACCTCGTTCTTAAAAGATTTTAAATACTATCAGGTTTAAATAGCATTTTTTTAGTCTTATTTATTTTTTAGTTTTAGTCATATTGAATAAAGAACCTAGCATTATAGCCCAGAATAAGAGAATGGTTGTAAATAGCTAGAGGTATCATGGTTCCTTATCTAACATGCTTTAACTCTGTCTGACCGGTCCTGCTAGTTTGCAACAATTCGAGACTGGAACAAAGGCAGGCCAGATGTCCCCAAGCCATTGATCCTTCATCTATTCTATCCTAGTGTTGGCTGAACTTTAATTATCTGCATACCACCATCAAAATGTTTCCAGTGTGTCAAGTGTCTATATCATTATTTAATATGTATGTTCCTCAACTCATTTATTTTATTTTTTTTACAGAGAGGAGGGGAGAGGAATAGAGAATTAGAAACATCAATGAGAGAGAAACATCAATCAGCTGCCTCCTGCACACCTCCCACTGAGGATGTGCCCACAACCAAGGCACATGTCCTTGACCAGAATCGAACCTGGGACCCTTCAGTCTGCAGGACGCCGCCGTATCCACTGATCCACACCTGTCAACTCATTTTTTTAAACACACACCTCTCATCCCATCCCCCTTTTTAATTTGGTTAAATCCTATATAATAAAAGGCTAATATGCAAACTGACCAAATGGCGGAATGACCGGTCACCTATGATGCGCACTGACCACCAGGGGGCAGACACTCAACACAGGAGCTGCCTCTGGTGGTCAGTGCACTCCCTCAGGGGGAGCAACACTCAGCCAGAAGCTAAGCTCACGGTGGTGGCAGCAGCCTCTCCTGCCTCCGTAGAAGCACCAAGGATGTCCTACTGACTGCGAGAGGGTACAGGCCTGGTGAGGAATATTCCCCACCCCCACTGAGTGGACAAATTTCCGGCACCAGCCCCCTA